ACACACGTCACACTCACACACGTCTCACTCACACACGTCTCACTCACACACGTCCACTACACACACGTCACACTCACACACGTCACACTCACACACGTCACACTCACACACGTCACACTCACACACTCACACTCACGCACGTCACACTCACACGTCACACTCACGCACGTCACACTCACACACGTCTCACTCACACACGTCACACTCACACACGTCTCACACTCACACACGTCTCCACTCACACACGTCACACTCACACACGTCACACTCACACACGTCTCACTCACACACGTCTCACTCACACACGTCTCACTCACACACGTCACACTCACACACGTCTCACTCACACACGTCTCACTCACACACACACACACGTCACACTCACACACGTCTCACTCACACACGTCACACTCACACACGTCTCACTCACACACGTCTCACTCACACGTCACACTCACACACGTCACACTCACACACGTCTCACACTCACACACGTCTCACTCACACACGTCACACACACACACTCACACACGTCACACTCACACACGTCACACTCACACACGTCACACTCACACACGTCCCTCACACACTCACACCCACACGTCTCACCACTCACACACGTCTCACTCACACACGTCACACTCACACACGTCACACTCACACACGTCACACTCACACACGTCTCACTCACACACGTCACACTCACACACGTCACACACGTCACACTCACACACGTACACACTCACACACGTCTCACTCACACACGTACCCTCACACGTCACACGTCACACACGTCTCACTCACACACGTCTCACACTCACACACGTCACACTCACACACGTCACACACACACACACGTCACACGTCACACTCACACGTCACACTCACACACGTCACACTCACACACGTTCACACTCACACACGTCTCACACTCACACTCACACACTCACACTACGTCACACACGTCATCACGTGTCAACACGTCACACACGTCTCACTCACACACGTCACGGGCAAGAAGCCCCACCAAGCCTCGCGCTGTCAACAGCCACGCCCCGTGGGATTAATGAGGCTTCTCAGCGCTCTTGTCCAGCCGCGCAGAACAACAACAGCAGCAGCACAGAGCACACAAACATCTCCCCAGCAACCACGCCCGGCCGCCTTTGTCTCCCCAGTGGTGACTGTTTGGCACACAGCACCCGGCGACTCATTTTAGGCCGAGTCGACCTAGGGGAGGCCCAGGACCGGTTCAGATAATCGTCACCGGTGGTGGCCGTGAGCGGGAATCGAACTCGGGTCGCCGGGTTCGTAGCGCAGCGTAGCGCTAACAACTACACTACCACTACACACACACAACACTGTACATAACACACACAACACTGTACATACACAACTCAGACCACAGCATATACACAACCAAGTACATAACACACACACAACCCAGTACTGGACATAACACACAAACAGTACTGTACATAACACTAACAACCAACTACTGTACACATTCCAAACCCACAACCCAACACACAACCCAACCCACAACACACAACCCAACACACAACCCAACCCACAACACACAACCCAACACACAACCCAACCCACAACACACAACCCAACACACAACCCACTACACAACCCACAACCCAACACACAACCCACTACACAACCCACAACCCAACACACAACCCAACCTACAACCCAACACACAACCCAACACACAACCCAACCCACAACACACAACCCAACACACAACCCACTACACAACCTACAACCCAACACACAACCCAACACACAACCCAACCCACAACACACAACCCAACACACAACCCACTACACAACCCACAACCCAACACACTACACAACACACAACCCAACACACAACCGAACACACAACCCACAACCCAGTACACAACACACAACCCACAACCCACAACCCAACACACAACCCACAACACAACACACAACCCAACACACAACCCAACACACAACACACTACACAACACACTACACAACCCAACACACAACCCACTACACACCCACAACCCAACACACAACCCAACACACAACACACTACACAACACACTACACAACCCAACACACAACCCACAACACAACACACAACCCACCACACAACCCAACACACAACCCAACACACAACCCAACACACAACACACTACACAACACACTACACAACCCACTACACACCCACAACCAAACACACAACCCAACACACAACACACTACACAACACACTACACAACACACAATACACTACACAACACACTACACAACCCAACACACAACCCACTACACACCCACAACCCAACACACAACCCAACACACAACACACTACACAACACACTACACAACACACAACCCACTACACAACCTACAACCCAACACACAGCCCAACACACAACACACTACACAACCCAACACACAACCCACTACACACCCACAACCCACAACCCAACACACTACACAACACACAACCCACTACACAACCTACAACCCAACCTACAACCCAACACACAACCGAACACACAACCCACAACCCAGTACACAACACACAACCCACAACCCAACACACAACCCACAACACAACACACAACCCAACACACAACCCAACACACAACCCAACACACAACACACTACACAACACACTACACAACCCAACACACAACCCACTACACAACACACAACCCACCACACAACCCAACACACAACCCAACACACAACCCAACACACAACACACTACACAACACACTACACAACCAAACACACAACCCACAACACAACACACAACCCACCACACAACCCAACACACAACCCAACACACAACACACTACACAACACACTACACAACCCACTACACACCCACAACCCAACACACAACCCAACACACAACACACTACACAACACACAACCCAACACACAACCCAACACACAACACACTACACAACCCAACACACAACCCACTACACACCCACAACCCAACACACGACCCAACACACAACCCACCACACAACACACTACACAACACACTACACAACACACTACACAACCCACAACCCAACACACAACACACAACCCACTACACAACATGGACAGTAACTCTTACCTCGCCGCCGGATGAGGAGAGGTGGAGGGAGACGAGGTGGTGGGAGTGGAGGTGGTGGAGGAGGGAGACGAGGTGGAGGTGGAGGAGGGAGACGAGGTGGAGGTGGAGGAGGGAGACGAGGTGGAGGTGGAGGAGGGAGACGAGGAGGTGGAGGAGGGAGACGAGGTGGAGGTGGTGGAGGTGGATGGAGGAGGGAGACGAGGTGGAGGAGGGAGACGAGGAGGTGGAGGTGGTGGAGGAAGGAGACGAGGTGGTGGTGGAGGAGGGAGACGAGGTGGAGGAGGGAGACGAGGTGGAGGTGGATGGAGGAGGGAGACGAGGTGGAGGTGGAGGAGGGAGACGAGGTGGAGGAGGAGGGAGGAGCGGGGTCCCAGGCCGGGGCGCGGAGCGAGGAGGCCCGAGGAATCGCGACGAGAATCGAGGTCACAACCCGTGGATCGGAATCGGATTTCCCAAGGAGCGGAGTCGAAAGAATCAGTGGTGGTGCGAATCGCGGGACGGTGAAGTCGAAATCGGAATCGATTGGGGTTGAGAGACACTGGGGGAGAGAGACACTGGGAGAGAGAGACACTGGGAGAGAGAGACACTGGGGGAGAGAGACACTGGGAGAGACACACTGGGAGAGAGACACTGGGGGAGAGACACACTGGGAGAGAGATACACTGGGAGAGAGAGACACTGGGAGAGACACACTGGGGGAGAGACACACTGGGGGGATAGAGACACTGGGAGAGAGACACTGGGGGAGAGAGACACTGGGGGAGAGAGACACTGGGAGAGAGACACTGGGAGAGACACACTGGGAGAGAGATACACTGGGGGAGAGAGACACTGGGGGAGAGAGACACTGGGGGAGAGACACTGGGAGAGAGAGACACTGGGAGAGACACACTGGGGGAGAGAGACACTGGGAGAGAGACACTGGGGGAGAGAGACACTGGGGGAGAGAGACACTGGGAGAGAGAGACACTGGGAGAGAGAGACACTGGGGGAGAGAGACACTGGGAGAGACACACTGGGAGAGAGACACTGGGGGAGAGACACACTGGGAGAGAGATACACTGGGGGAGAGAGACACTGGGGGAGAGAGACACTGGGGGAGAGACACTGGGAGAGAGAGACACTGGGAGAGACACACTGGGGGAGAGACACACTGGGGGGATAGAGACACTGGGAGAGAGACACTGGGGGAGAGAGACACTGGGGGAGAGAGACACTGGGAGAGAGACACTGGGAGAGACACACTGGGAGAGAGATACACTGGGGGAGAGAGACACTGGGGGAGAGAGACACTGGGGGAGAGACACTGGGAGAGAGAGACACTGGGAGAGACACACTGGGGGAGAGAGACACTGGGAGAGAGACACTGGGGGAGAGAGACACTGGGGGAGAGAGACACTGGGAGAGAGAAACACTGGGAGAGAGAGACACTGGGGGAGAGAGACACTGGGAGAGACACACTGGGAGAGAGACACTGGGGGAGAGACACACTGGGAGAGAGATACACTGGGAGAGAGACACTGGGGGAGAGAGACACTGGGGGAGAGACACTGGGGGGAGAGAGACACTGGGAGAGAGAGACACTGGGAGAGACGCACTGGGGGAGAGACACACTGGGGGGATAGAGACACTGGGAGAGAGAGACACTGGGAGAGACACACTGGGGGAGAGACACACTGGGGGGATAGAGACACTGGGAGAGAGACACTGGGGGAGAGAGACACTGGGGGAGAGAGACACTGAGAGAGAGACACTGGGAGAGAGACACTGGGAGAGACACACTGGGGGAGAGAGACACTGGGAGAGAGACACTGGGGGAGAGAGACACTGGGGGAGAGAGACACTGGGAGAGAGACACTGGGAGAGACACACTGGGGGAGAGAGACACTGGGAGAGAGACACTGGGGGAGAGAGACACTGGGGGAGAGAGACACTGGGAGAGAGACACTGGGGGAGAGAGACACTGGGGGAGAGACACTGGGGGAGAGAGACACTGTGGGGAGAGACACTGGGGGAGAGAGACACTGGGGGAGAGAGACACTGGGGGAGAGAGACACTGGGGGAGAGACACTGGGAGAGAGAGACACTGGGAGAGACACACTGGGGGAGAGACACACTGGGGGGATAGAGACACTGGGAGAGAGACACTGGGGGAGAGAGACACTGGGGGAGAGAGACACTGGGAGAGAGACACTGGGAGAGACACACTGGGAGAGAGATACACTGGGGGAGAGAGACACTGGGGGAGAGAGACACTGGGGGAGAGACACTGGGAGAGAGAGACACTGGGAGAGACACACTGGGGGAGAGACACACTGGGGGGATAGAGACACTGGGAGAGAGAGACACTGGGAGAGACACACTGGGGGAGAGACACACTGGGGGGATAGAGACACTGGGAGAGACACACTGGGGGAGAGAGACACTGGGAGAGAGGCACTGGGGGAGAGAGACACTGGGGGAGAGAGACACTGGGAGAGAGACACTGGGAGAGAGACACTGGGAGAGACACACTGGGGGAGAGAGACACTGGGAGAGAGACACTGGGAGAGAGACACTGGGGGAGAGAGACACTGGGGGAGAGAGACACTGGGAGAGAGACACTGGGAGAGACACACTGGGGGAGAGATACACTGGGAGAGAGACACTGGGGGAGAGAGACACTGGGGGAGAGAGACACTGGGAGAGAGAGACACTGGGAGAGAGAGACACTGGGGGAGAGAGACACTGGGAGAGACACACTGGGAGAGAGACACTGGGGGAGAGACACACTGGGAGAGAGATACACTGGGGGAGAGAGACACTGGGGGAGAGAGACACTGGGGGAGAGACACTGGGAGAGAGAGACACTGGGAGAGACACACTGGGGGAGAGACACACTGGGGGGATAGAGACACTGGGAGAGAGACACTGGGGGAGAGAGACACTGGGGGAGAGAGACACTGGGAGAGAGACACTGGGAGAGAGACACTGGGAGAGACACACTGGGGGAGAGAGACACTGGGAGAGAGACACTGGGGGAGAGAGACACTGGGGGAGAGAGACACTGGGAGAGACACACTGGGAGAGACACACTGGGGGAGAGAGACACTGGGAGAGAGACACTGGGGGAGAGAGACACTGGGGGAGAGAGAACCGACCCTCAGGAACCCACAGACAAAGCTGCCATCCACCACCGCCACCCCCGGCATGGAGAGGCGCCTCACCAATGCGCGGATCACCAGGATGGGAGATCTGGTGGAGCCTGGAACACGGGGCCGGTGGCTCGGACCAGCAGACATGGCCGCAAAGACAGGGCTGCAGTCGCTCCGGGTGGCTGCCTGGATCCTGGCCGAAGCCAAGGGAGCCTTCTCAGCGGCAGTGGGGAGAACGCCTCCCATCGGCGTTGGGGATGACGAGGCCCCTCTCGGTCCCCCTCCACCGGAGCTCTCCGTCGTGCCACTTGCATCGCCAATGCCGACAAGCGAAGGCGGATCACAACCTGTGCCGGTTGGAAAACCTACAGGTGGCCTTCGAAAATGTAAAGAGGAAGGTGCTCTACTCCTACATGGTCCGGTTTCACCAACAGGACACCCTGAGGAACCACAAGGACCATGCCTGGAGGTACCAGTCTATTCAGCAGTACTCTTGCGAGGATTTTGCCGGCGACGGACAGAAGTGTTATGCCACGATAATTGGAACAGTCTGAGTTCTCTCCTTTGTTCTTGTACAGGGTGATGATGACTGCATCTTTGAGGTCTTGAGGGAGTTTACCCTGCTCCCAGCAGCAGACAAATAATTCGTGGAGTTTGGTGTGCAGTGCTGGGCCTCCGTTCTTCCATACTTTAGGAGGGATGCCATCAACTCCTGCAGCTTTACCACTCTCGTCAGCTGTTTAATGGCTTCCTCAGTCTCTTGTAATGTTGGTGCCACATCCAGTTCGGTTTTCACTGGTTGTTGTGGGATGCGGTCAATCGCTGGTTCTTGGACTGAGCGGCTAGCATTGAAGAGCGTGGAGAAGTGCTCAGACCAGCGGTTCAGGATTGAGTCCTTTTCGGTGAGCAGTTCTTTCCCGTCTGCACTCCGGAGGGGGCTCAGGATTTGGTACGAGGGGCCATGTACCGCTTTTAGAGCTTCGTAGAATCCCCTGTAGTCGCCAGTATCAGCGCAAACCTGAGTTCTTACTGCGAGGTTGGTCCACCACTCGTTTTGAATCTCTCGAAGCTTGCGCTGGAGGGTGCTGCATTCCAGGCGGAAGGCTGCTTTTTTGTGCAGGCAGGATGGTCGGGCCAGGTGGGCCTGGTGTGCTGATCTCTTCTTTGACAGCAGCTCCTGGACTTCTAAGTTGTTCTCATCGAACCAATCTGTTTTTCTTCGTGGAGAATCCGAGGGTATCTTCAGATGTTTGCAGAACAACAGTTTTGATGTGGTCCCACAGCACTTCAGGAACCAGAGGCGAGTTTGCTAGGCAGCTCGGTTCCTCTAGCCTAGATCGTAGGCTTTTCTGGAAATCTGCTTTGACCGCGGCAGACTGAAGGCTGCAGACTTTGAGCTTCTTCCTCGGGGCGCCTCCTTTCCTTGGTCTGGGCTTAAAGTGGAAGCTGAGTTTGCAGCGGACAAGATGGTGGTCTGTGTGAAACTCGGCGCTGGGCATTATTGTGGTGTGAAAGACATATTTTAGGTCACGCTGGCGCACTAGGATGTAGTCTATGAAATGCCAATGTTTTGACCGAGGGTGCATCCAGGTTGTCTTCAGACTCTCTTTCTGCTGGAAGATGGTGTTGGTAATGGAAAGCTGCTGTTCCGCGCAGAGTTCAAGCAACAAGCATCCATTGTCGTTGCAGCTGCCCACACCGTGCCTTCCAAGTACGCCTTTCCAGGTGTCCGAGTCTCTGCCCACTCTGGCGTTGAAGTCGCCAAGGATGACAATCTTGTCGTCAACTGGGACATCCTGCAAAAGGGTGCATAGGTCGGAGTAAAACTTGTCTTTGTCAGCAGGATCTGCCTGGAGAGTTGGAGCGTACACACTGAGCAGCGTTGCGTGTTGCTGGTCACGAAGTGGTAGACGCATTGAGATGATGCGGTCAGAGTGGCCGGTTGGCAGGCTTTCAAGCTTGATATCGATAGAGTCCCTGATCATGAAGCCGACATCTGAACGGCGTCTCTCTGTAGCTGGTTTGCCTGACCAGTAGAGAGTGTAACCTGCGCAATGCTCCCTCAGACTCCCTTCCTCTGAAAAGTGGATTTCGCTGAGGGCGGCGATGTCAACATCCAGCAGAGCGAGTTCGTGTGCAATTAGAGCAGATCGTCGCTCAGGTCGAGTGCTGTCAGCTGAGTCTAGCATGGTTCTGATGTTCCAGCATGCCAGTTTGAGTCCTTTCCCACCTTTTAAGGCGAGTGGGATGCGCCGTTTGATTCTTTGATATAGTTCGACCGCGTATGAAGATGCTCGTTGACCGCGGTAAGCCAACTAAGGGAGGAGGAGACGAGCTTTGTTTAGGCCACCTTTTCTAGGCCCCTCTCCGTGTGGAGCAAGCAGTGCTGTCCCTAGAAAAGGCTGCTTGGTCGCTCAGGGTGCTGCCGGGTGATGATGTCGTCTCCAGATCATCATCAGACGACCACTAGTGCCTGAGCCGCCTGCATGCAGGATTGAGACTGCGGCTGCAAGTGTCATCATCTTACACCTGCCGAGTTCGCCCCTTTCCCATTGCTACAAGACTTAGTGAGACCGGGGGGTGGGGGGGGGGAGTAGACGTGAAGATTTCCTTCTTGCCTGCGCAATGGAGCTTTAAAGTGCAGTGCGGTCTGCGCAGAACTGACCCCACCCTTTAAACCCGGGGTTTGTCTGCCATAGCCTAGCAAGCTGGGACGGTGACAGCGAGGTCCTCGGGTCGTAGGTTTTACATCAGAGTTGTCATTGTAGTGCGTATTTAATGTGGCGCTGCACTCTGATGTTGTAGGAGAAAACATTTATAAAAAAACGTCTATTTAATTAAGTAGAACGTGTTGTCTATATTGATTTAAAGTTGCGCATTTTGATGTGACGTCACATTTCTCAACCCCCCCCCCCTCGTCACACATCGTCACAAATGTCTGACCCTGCCCCCCCTAGGTGCGTGACGTCATTTATGGACGGCCCCTAACAAGAAAACACAAATCAAGTGATGCCTTGACCTGTGCTCCCTTGACAAGAGAACGCAAATCAAGTGATGACCCAAAGTGGTTGACGACATCTTTCCAATGATTGCTGAGTTTGTACCCATCTTCTTGGTGAAATTGTCTGTATCTGGCACCTGGGTCTGCCCCGTGACCTCCTGCCAGCGGGCGTTCGACACTTCACGTGGCCTCAAGGTGCACATGGCCTGGCACAAGCGTCGTGGTGACGTCACCGCCACTTAGTGACGAATGGCGGTTGTTGTTGTCTTGAAAATCACTCAGACAGACACGCTGTAACAAGTCACCTGCTTTACACTTTATTAACCTATTCTTGCACCAGTTGTAGGCACTCCTAGAACGATCTACACGGTCACTTAGACCTAAATTCTTCCACTCGTCTCTACGTTACACCTCAACTGTCCTGCCCTCGGCAGCTCTACTCCCAGTGTCTCTCTCCCCTACACAGCTTAGTCGCACTCAGCGTCTTCCTACACAGAGGCTTGTCCGCAGCTTCTCACACTCCCTCCGGCCCACTCACTCGTCTGTCCCGGGCGATGGGATCAATCATCACCCGCCCGGCGACTCGTGAGGGTTGAGGTCCGTTGACGGCTTGAGTCGCAGCGGCGAGATGTCTTCACTCTTGTCCTCAGCAGCAGAGGTCAGTGTGAAGGAGATGGGTATGACCTCCGCTGCTGTCACATCTCCTAATGCCAAACGAATTTTATTCAGGGCTGGCTTGGCCCTGATCTTAGAGAGAATTAGACTGATCCGTACTGAACTAGATGTGGACAAGACACTCTTGAAATCACACGTAACATTGACGGGAAAAAATGTCTACATCTGATTGGGAACATGTAGATAACATGACTGCTTCATCAGCCGCTATGTCAGCTAAATGTGTAATGGGTTCCAGAGACACTTGTAGAGGTAACTTTTATATTTCAATACAACACTCCAACAATCGTGATACACTGTTACAGCCTAGGGACACAGCCTACTCCTAGCGTGCCTGACTCTGGCTACGCTCTCGGGTCCTCCGGCTACAATTACCCTAGGGGAGGCTACCTGATCCGACCCAGCCAAGGTGTGGGTCTAGACTCTGGCTTCCTCGGAACTCGCCTTTAAAAGGACGTAGAGCCGGGAGTCCCAGAGTCCCACCACTGGCCCGCACAGCGTCCCGGCCCTTACAAGGACAAGCGGGGCGAGGGGGTCCAGGGTCCTAAGCTGGCTGGTCTTGGGTCTTGAGCTGCTACTGGTCCCGATCAGCTGGGGAGTGGCCCTTTTATCCCCCTTGCCCATCGAGGGTTGGGGTTGCGTGGGATCCTAGATCCCCTGCAGCCCCCCGTTGGTGGCGCCAAGGGGATTAGCTGTCTGGGATCCTGAGGCCCTGGCACCGAAGGCTTAGCTGCCTAAGATCCTGAGCCCCAGCAGCCACCCCCAACTTGGGCTGGCACAGTGGCCCCTCCCCTGGGGGACCCTGGTACCTGCAGATGGGCCCTGTCCACCACTGCCGGTAAGTGTGGCCCATCTACGGCACTACAAATGTAAAGATAACCTGATTTCCAAGTTCAACCTCCTTTCCAAGAAGAAACCAGATCCACACGTTAAAAGGTTGTTATTAATCTGAGTAATAGTCCAATTTCCGATGGTCTAAAATCGGTTCTGGCTAAAGGGCTGAACTTCGCAGTTGCGCCCAAACACATACCAGTGGATGACACCATTGCCCAGGTCGATGTAGCCCTTAAGGCTTTGGGACACATCAATGCAGACGTGACAAGATCTGAAATCGCTGCAACCCTCAAAAGCGCTAAGATACCAGTCAGCAACATCAGTATGGATGAGCGTTTTGAGTTATCTCAATTGAAAAAGATGGATGATATCGTCATCTTCTCAGCCGACAAGGGCAATGCCACGGTCATCATGGACAAAACCGTGTACAACAAAATTCAGGACCTACTTAATGATGGTAGCTACACAAAATTTAAATAGATCCCACCAACAGCCTCGTTACAAAAACGAACAGTATCATCACTGATTCAGCTTCATTAATTTAACAGAACAAACGGTTTTCCTTAAAACCTTCTGCTGCTAGACCACCCAGATCATATGGCTTACCAAAAATACATAAAGAAGGTCACCCCCTTCGTCCCATCGTCTCCACCATTGGCTCACCCACCTACAAACTGGCCCGATATCTGAGACCTTGCAGCCATTCACTGGTAAGACCACCTCTTCTGTACTTAACTCAGCTCACCTGGTATCGTCAATTAAGGACATCTCACTGTCCCCAGGTGATTTGCTCGTTAGTTTCGATGTAGTTTCTTTGTTCACCAAAGTCCCTGTGCCCGATACCATTGCAATCATTGAAGATTTGGTCCAACAAAGATTGAATGCTGATGTACCGGCCCTGGTGAAACACTGCCTCACCAATACATACTTCACCTGGAATGGAACATTTTACAAACAAACTGAAGGCACCCCAATGGGTTCTCCCTTATCTCCGGTTGTAGCCAATGTTTTCATGGAAAAATTTGAGACGGATGCCATTCAGGCATCCACTCTACGCCCGTCCTTGTGGAAGAGGTACGTGGATGACACGTTCGTCATCTGGCCACATGGCCAACCGGCTCTGAACCATTTCCTCAACCACATCAATTCCATACATCCAGCCAACAAATTCACCATGGAGGTAGAAAAGGATGGCATGCTACCTTTCTTGGATGTCCTATTAAAAGAGACCAGATGGCTCAATGAGTTATTATGTCTACAGGAAAGCCACCCATACTGATGCCTACCAAAAAAACTGACTCCCACCACCATCCATCCCAGAAGAATTCCCTCATCAAAACTCTACACCACAGAGCTCAATGTATCTCCAACCATGAACACATAACCAGTGAACTCAAACACGTACACCAGGCTCTCAAGGCGAATGGATATTCTGACTACACAATCCGCAAAGCCATCACCCCGACCGTGAGGAAGGAGTCATCTGAGGATCCAATCAAAACCATCACCTTGCCATACATAGCAGGGGCAACCAAAAATATTTCCAAAATAATGAACAAACACAAGATCCAGGTCTGATTTAAAACAGTACATAAAATTCGTGACATGATCCCATCTGTGAAGGACAATATCCCTGACATGCAATATCCCGGTGTCTACAAACTAAGCTGTATTTGCGGCAGCAGTTACATTGGGGAAACTAAGCAACATGTCTTGGACTGTGTTCATGAGCATAAGGCAGATTTGAAACACGGTAGGACCAATACTTCTGCCGTGGCTGATCATTTTTTTAATGCGGCTGGCTCAACAAAGATTTGTTCATGAAGCCATCCATATATCGACACAGACATAATTTCAACCGAGAAGATGGCTACAAACTCAGTAATCATTGGAAAGATGTCATCAACCACTTTGGGTCATAACTTGATGTGTTCTCTTGTCAAGGGAGCACAGGTCAGGTCATGATTTGATTTGTGTTTTCTTGTTACCTTACTCCAGGGCACATATGCCCTGCCCACTTCGTTCTGACACCAGGACGTTTTGTTGGCACTGCATGTCCCATGCTTCCACCGCCGGAGCTCGTGTGCCACGCCCACTTTTTTTAAACCTTTTAGAAACGGTTGACTCCGGTGACCTCCCCCTCTTTCCTCCTGAAGACGATCGCTTGTGTTGTGATCGAAACGTCCTATCTACGTGACTTCACCGAAAGAACCAAAGAATATTAGACGGCCTGCCATACCACGTAGCGACACAGAACAAATGGCCATCAATCGCCGCTAGATGGAAGCGCGTGTGTGGATGCAGTGGCCAGCGCGCTACGCTGCCCTACGAAAACCCGCCACCCCAGTTCAATTCCTGTTCACGGCCAACACCGGTGACGATTATCTGAATCGCTCCTGGGCCTACCCTAGAACGACTTGGCCTCAAATGAGTACCTGGTGTGGAGTAAACATCGCGCCTGGGGAGACAAAGGTGGCCCGGCGTGGTTGCTGGCCACCGATCTTCTCGTGTGGCAGTGCCCAACAGTGTTTTAAGGCTACACAGGATGGGGATCTTCGTCTTTGTGTAATACCACTGTTTATATCTCCATCGAGTGCGAGTTAACAAGCAATAGATGAGCACTCGGGAGCAATAAGTCATGAGTGAGATTGTTTGGTTTTGTTCTTGCCCAGGGGAAAACCTCACCGAGTCTCACGACTTCGCCAGGAGGGTCTAACGTCGCGGGCCGCTGTGCCGAACCCCCCGGGTTTGATGAATGTGCCGTGTCATCGTTCAAGTTTGGCAAATTGACGCCGACACACGAGCCCCCCACACTCTTCGTGTCACCGCAATCTGTTATCGTCCATTGTGAAGCAAACCGCGTATATAGTAGTATTATTATCATGGCATTATTAGGATTAACAAGACCCGCAGTAATAACCAGGGCGGCCCCTGGGATCGAACCGTGAACCCGTGATGAGCGGCACTCCTACGTTGCATAGGAATTCTCGTTGTATGACGTGCTGATGGATGCATGTTGAACTTCTTTCACACCGTGCGTAGCCAACCGCGCTAATCAAGAGGTGCGAGGAAGTGCAAAACTAAACACAAAAAGCAGATCTCAAGAAATTAGTTTGTCAATATAGATTATTTAAAAGTGCATCGCTCCAGTGGCTTCCTAATATCGGAAGAGCGTTCCAGACGGCCGCAGAAGCACGCGATGCGATAACCGTCTTTTTTCGACGGTTAGCCAAAAATCCGCTGCTGCTGCTGCGCTGATGACCAGAATGCGCGTGGTGGTTTATGCTGCTTGACAAGATCAGCGAGGTATTTGGTGGTTCACTGGTGGCGAGCAGTGTGTGTGCAACGAGCGCGACCCAATAACGAGGATAGCTGTTGCGCGTCTAGCCAGTGACCTCGCCGAGGTCGGTGGACATCCTTGTGCTCGGGACAGCCACGCCTTGCCCGTGCCCTGATTGCATTCAGCGCATTTTGACCGCGCTTACCAGATTTGGCGACTTGCCGATATTTTTTTTGCTATCCAAACTCTGCGGCTCTGCAGCCCATTGCAGTCGAACAATCGTGGAAACTCAACCGACGGCGAGTTGCAGACGGATCTCTCTTTGAGCGTTTAAAGCCCCCAATCGGTTTGCCCCAAGAACACAGCCTCGCAGCAGCAAAAATACGCGGCACAGGCCGGCTAACAATGGGGTATCGGGTAATGAGGATTCATCGCTCATGATTCTCAGCGGATCCGCTCATCCGCCAGTCTTGGCCTGATGACCGACGCATGAATGCGAACGAACAGCTGCGTTGGTAGCGGTGCACAGATAGAAGACTCAACGTGTTCGTCAAGACCACCGTGTGGCTGTAAAACACAATAGAAACAATGAATGTTCGAAACAGTGGACCGTTCGGCACAGGCCAGGGTTTGAGATGTACGTGGGTGAGATGCTACACTCTCTGTGGAAGAGACACGCTCACTCTCTGCGTGGAAATGTTAACAGCGGAGCACGACCACAAAGTGCTTTGGAGGTACGCGACGTCTCATCAGTACGTGCCCCCCCCCCCCCCCTCGGCTGTAGAGCGTTACCTCCGAACGATCTTCTGCAACACCACCACCGGCAGGGCACGACGACATTTTGATGCACTTTATTTTACAAAGTCCCGCCAAGTAACCTCGCAACAAACCACGATCCCTACAGACCAACAGCTCCACACCAAAAGGCAATCGCCGTCGTACGGAATTGGGATTCCCCCCCCCTCCTCCTCCTCCCGAAGGACGCCGCTCGTCCGCTTCTCGGCCAGTGGCCGTTCACCTTCGTCCGCAAGGAGCCATGATCAGCGCAGAGTGGGGGGGGGGGGGTTGAGCGGATTCACCCCCCACCCCACCCCTCGCTTGCTCAACGCCTCATTCAAAGCGAGGTCACAGAGCTCAGCCGAAGGCCTCCTCCGATCCTCAACGACCTGTGATCCCCCCCCCCAACCACCACGGCTTCATTAACACCGCGCACATGCGTCTGGGGTGCAAGGGTGAGGGCATTGTGTGCGCGCAGTCGTCCACGGTGGGGGCCCGGCCATCCCCGGCAGCCGATCGCTGGCAAACCGGGTGGGTGGGAACCTGCAGCTTCCACAAAAAACACAACTGAACCACCAGTTTGGAATAAGTCCCACAGTGTGAAACAGAAATAGCATTTACAATACTTGACAAAGATGCTCCACACTCCCTACTCGAACCCCACGTCACCCCTTCATAGAAAACCGAACATCGTGCGCATTATATTCCTGTGGATGTGTTTTTGTTTGTTTTAACGAGTCGCTGTGGGTACTGAGTATGCCACGCGGGCGACTGTGCTGCTGGCGAGTGTCACAATGTCGGACGCTCTCGTGCCCATCTCAAAAAAACTGACACTTGGGGAGGAACTGTCTTTGCTATTCAAACGTGCCTTTCAAGGTTACTTTGTAAAGATTATAATAGGTTCAAGTAATTTTCATCAACTAACAAAATACACAGTTAAGGTGAGGAAGGGCGGCATGGGGAGCGGTGCGTGGTGACTATTCCTGTCGGCATGAACTGCCAGTGAGACGCTGAGAGGTAAGGGGATGAAAGTCTTCATCACTTCCAAGAGTCGTAGTAGTATCATCACACAGACGGACGATAAAAATCAATCGGCAATTGCACGTCGCAGGATTTAAACCGTCAGCAGCTCAACCACCACCCCCCCCCCCCATACCGTGTGTGAATTTGGGCAATATGGATCCTTGACAAAGGATCACAAAGACATTGGGGGGAACATAAAAAAATAATTACTGGGACACCTCGCCAGGGGAAACAGGTAATCATCCAGACAGGGAGCGAGCGTGCCAGGTGGCAAGTGAGAGAGCTGGACCGGGCAACAGGGAGAAATATGGACACAAAAATACGGAACCAAAACTGATCGAGTAAACCTCCACGTCAAAAGGCATAAAATCCAACATACATGTTTACAAATTAAAAAAAATGACATCGCCATCAAGAGATTCAAAATATAAATGGTTTCAAGTAGAGCTGGACGGAGTCAATGCCACAGCCTCGCAGCTCCCTCCTCGGTCTCATCATCATCGCTGCCGTCATCGTCGTCGTCAACGTCATCTCCACCAACGCCTCCAGGTTTCAACCACAGCCGCGGTCCCACTTCTTCAGACACGGCCGTTATTACAGCAAATGTAAAATTAATGTTTGACGAGACTTAGAAACAAGGTGATAAGAATGGGTACTCTCTTGTGGAGCCAGAGAGATTAAGGGACAATTTAATTCAAAGGGTCGACTATTTGAATAGACGTAATGAATGAGCCAGCCTGACCCAGCTGTACGCGTGCTTGTTAACGAGGAATGCATTTGCCATTCCAGCTGCTGAAAATATGTAACGCATTCTCTTTTCAAACGCAGAATTCGCATAATCTCCACGCTCTGTAATGCCGACATCTGGAAAGGCTCGAGCCATCCCACCTGGCCACCTGGTGCGGGGAGCTTACACGCACATATTGGACACTCGCTGGGTTACGTTACGAGTCACTTCGCGTTAACTCAGGCGGCAATCCGTAGCACAGGCAACCCATACGAGGCAGCTTCGTTTTCTAAGCGTGCAGTTAAAGATTAAAACAAATATTTCACACCACAGCCGCCACGAGCCTAACTTGAATCCGCAAAGTGCCAATGGGAATCTCGGTCGAGTATGAATGTGAGCGAGTGGCCAGATTAAAATGCGCGCGGTCGAATGCGGACAGCGAGACACGGGGGTTGCAGTCAATAATACAAATGTGGACTTAGGAATGTGGAATGGCCAATGAAGATATGTACGTGGATGGCCAGGCCAGAGAGATGTGGCACACGTGCAAAAAATAACATCACACACCGCAGCCCCCATTTCGATTGAGAAGGCGACGCGCGGCCGTCAAGGTAACGTAGCTGTGGCGTTGTTCGTTTAAAGAGGCACCGCATGGTGAGTGAAGTCGCAGCGTGCTCACACAGGACAACGGGAGCAGTCGGGTGTGATTGGTTCAAGAGCCACTGAGCAGTCAACGTGAAGGAGGATCCGTGCATATAGTAGACATCCGACTGCCGACAAAACCCAACGATGCCACTCCCATGTTCAAAAACCACTGCGGTGCACAGCTCCAGTAGGGAGTGGGGGTCCATTGTCCTTGCTGCCCAGGCGTCCCAATGAAGCCGTGAGTCTGGCAGCGGGGGCTATGCGACTCAACGGTGCGACAAACCAAAGGCCGAGGTTCTTAGTAGGCGCGTGCGTGTTTATCCACACGCTGACGTGAGCTCCATGAATTAGATGCTAAATTCAATGAATTTCTCATCCCAATAGTACATGGAACTTTTGCACAAAGAATCGTAGAAGTAAATTCTCGGTGAGAAAAGAATGTTTCTTTTCTTCACCTGTTAAATGGCCATGAATGCCAGCCGATATCCGGACAGGATCACTTATGGACACACACTTTGGTTTGCTTGGCATTCACCGGTGGAGAAGTAACCATGTTTTATGTAGCCTTGCAGAGAAGACTCTCATTCGAAGGTGTACTCACGGAACATGATTGCAAAATAAAACTTGGGGGTGGTCTAAACGAAATAAAAAAACGTTTATTTCTGGTGGCAGAAAAGTGGACGTGCCATTGCAGAGATTCTCGCAATGGAAAATAACTTACAAACCCTTTCCTCCCTCGAACAGACGTGTCCATCACCAAAACCCGCTTCCCTCCGCCCTAAAGACAAGAACGCTCCATCCACCCTTCAATTTCGACTTCACCTAACTCACCCCCCCCTGGACCAACAATACCACACAAAATGTGCTGCCCTCCGGTTGTAAAGCGCTCTGCTCCAGAGGCACTCCTCCACGTGGGACTTGCGACCTGCTGCAGCTGTTCCCCACTGCTCTGATGGGAGTTGATATGTTAGTGCAGTCATATGTGGCATCGTTTACATCTTAGTGCACACCTGAAAATCAAAGCCTACGACGATGCAAGTCTGCGCATGTCAGTGGTCAGAGACTGCACACATCACTCCAATGTTCAAGGGGAAACATTTTGGTTACATCCCAGCGGCTAAGCTGCTCAAACCAAACACTGCGAATCCATGTGCGGCGCCATCACGGTACTCGGTTATGAGCAATGTCAGTGTAAGACGCCCTCTGATCGGCTGTTGGCGGTCCGGTCCGATGCCTCCCGACGGAGTTGCATAACGTTTGTGCCCCCTCGCGAATAACCAGGTCGGCTGTATCGTCTTCACGAGCGGATCTCGTGTCCTGCTTCACGAGTGGATCTCGTGTCCCGGTTCACGAGCTGAGCCCATGTCCCGGCTCACGAGCTGAGCCTGTGTCCGGCTTCACGAGCTGAGCTTGTGTCCCGGTTCAAGAGTGGAGCTCATGTCCAGGTTCCAGACTCCGTTGGCCGTAACTCGCAAATCAAAAGAGGTTTTCTTCAAATGTTGCCATGAGGTCCTTTTGGAAATTCATATCAATGGTTCCTGCCAGCTGCATGCACACACAAACACACGCACATGCAATTAATAAAAAACAGGCCGCCGTAGCATCGCGGGTTTTAACGAGTGCAATTGACAAGTTTTCTCTGGGGCAAATAAAACCGTTCCAACGAAGCGCAATTATTCTCACCGCCTCTCTCCTTCGCCTCTCCTGCTCCCGCTGCCTGGCGATCTCTCTCTCCCGCTCCTTCGCGGCCTGCTGCTTATGCAAATCATGTGGTGCCTGCTGCTGCTGCTGATGATGATGATGATGCTGCTGCATGTCCATGTCTGTGTGCATGGCCTGCACGTGGTGCTCCAGTTCAATCTTCTCGAGCTGTTGTTGCTCTAGCCTCGTCACCTCCTGTGCCCCACGTGGACACTCCATAGACTCCTCCTCATCCCGATCTCTGCGGAAAAACCGCGTGTGCGCACATACGGATCAGCAAGAGGGAACACGCAGGCCAGAACATGCGCGTGCGCACACGAGCATACGGCAAAACGCATAACGCCACAAGCACGATGCTCAGTTAGCCTAGTTAATGAGGAAGGACTCTATGATTAATAATCTTTAATATCGAAGTTAAATCTTTAAATGGCTACATCACGATAAGACCGATTAGAGAGAAGCTTCCTGTTACATATTACAACTGCCCAATCTGCAAAATACTGAGCATTTACAATTCTAACTCATCTTTAAAGCACAGCAGGGAAATGGTTAGTTTCACAATTGACATTGTATTAGGCAATGTATGTTTGTTTAACTTTTTTCTCACTGTGCGTAGCCGTAGCCAACCGTACTAATCGGAGGTGTGGGGAAAGAACTAAACACAACAAGCAATGCACACTGCCGCTATAATTGCTGACACTAACCTGCCATTACCATTGGAACCTCCTTTGCCAGTAGCAAAATATGATAATTGTTTTTTTACCCTTTAATCTGGCAACAAAACTGACACCTTTTTTACAAGGAGTCAGGAGTGCGCCTTTTGGCGTCATCTGGTCCAACACCATGTGAGACTAGGCTCTAAGAAAAGCTGTCTCGGGTGTGGACCAATCAATTTCAAGGAAAGTGCATACATTATCAGAGTTGTGTTTTTTGTTTGCATTCCGACCGCAGGTATTGTGGTCAATGCAAACATGACTCCTTGTAAAAAAGGTGTCAGTTTTGTTGCCAGATAAAAGGGTTAAAAACTAATTATCATATTATTATAACCTGTCATTGTTGAACACAGGGCCGTAACGGTGCCAACGGACAACATTCAGATTTGACATGGTAGCACCATTTTAATCATACTTCCCAGTCTCCTGAACAAGCCCAAAACAACGAAATCCCCGTCACCGGGCCCAACCTTGTAAATTGAAGAGGGCTAAGCCTGATGAGGACTTGAATAGGAGATGGCCTGGGTATACTCGGTGATAACAAAGCGCCGCAGTGACGAGACGTTCACTTTCTCGTCCGATATACAGGAGGTTGTGGGTTCGATCCCAACCCTGACACCTGCTGTATATTTGGAGTTTGCTTGTTCTCCCCGTGGTTGCGTGGATTTTTATCCAGGTACTCCGGTTTTTCCTCTCCACATTTAGAATAAATTTAACTCACGTAGGCTTTTGCGACCAATATCTGATGAAGCTCGCTGTGATTACCGGCGAAACGTTGTACTCAGATTGTAAATGTTGTTGATTTGCTCTCCAACACACCGGTGTGCTGTACGAGTAACAAATTGGCACGTTCTGTTTAAGTGACAAACCTTACTAATTGGCTGTGGCGGGTGGTGGCGGGTTTAATGACATTCATATTTTCGCGATCCAACCCAAAAAACACTATATTATGGATTTAGAATCAACTTGCGTTTAAGAGTATTTGGCTGCTACTATAAATGTCCACACGATAAGCCACTTCGTTGGGCTATCATTTGTGGCCAGGTCACTTCTGAAAAAGAGCTGTATAGCTCAGTGGGCCTTACCTGCTAAAATAAAAAAATTGTTCAGTTTTAGTTGAGTATAGGCGGCTTTTGCTGCAAGGTGACCTAGGATGTGGGAGTAGAGCGAAATGTTTTTGAAACTGCTGAGAGCCCTCGGTGTTCACGGCATGTCGCACGTGAGTCTCCTCCGGGTTACGCACCGACACGCATGCGGGGAACTCGCGAGCCGCGTCTTGAGATACAGCGGCCGCGGCTCTGTAAATGAAATGTGCAAGGCGGAAGTGGCAAACTCCCCCCCTCCACCTCCCCTCCATCACCTTTGTCGCTGCTCCTTCTCAGAGTGCTGCAGCTGCATGCGCTTGTACTCCCCCCTCTCACGCTCCCTCCTCTCGCGCTCCTCCTTCTCCCGCGCTGCCCTCTTGAACTGCTCAAAGCTCTCGTTGGCCGCTCGGCCTCCTCCCCCGCTTGCCCCGACTCCTCCGCCGCCGCCACCGCCGCCGCCGCCGCCACACGGGGCCACCGGGGCGACCATCTTCACCAGGCTGGCCCAGCCACCCATGTTCTTTATTTTCACATCCTGATGACCAACAAACATGGCAGCACCACAACAATATTCACGCGGCGCTAAAACGTTGCAACCAAACGACTCGAAGCGCTGCACAACTGCAAGAGTAACAATCGGATAGCGAACGGAGAAAAGGGAAAACTTGTTACACACACAGAGATGACACGGAGAGACCAACCTCCCCCTCAGTCACACACCGACAGCAGCTCACACTCCGAGCTGCACATCCTCATCCAAGCAAACGTCTCGTGATGGAAGCGAGTTGGTCTCGTTCTGATTGGTGGAAGTGGGTCGGTCTCACTCCGATTGGTGGAAGTCTCCAGCATCAAGATAAATAGGCTTATACCCACAATCCAGTGGTGCATGCAGCACAGGCTGGGTACCACAGCTCTAAATAAACACATGGAGCCACATACTCTCATGAGCAAACAGAGATCCACCGTGTAGCCTTCAACGGACCGTTGGGGCAAGTGCTGTCAGCGCACGCATATGAAGGCCGGCAGGGAGTATGAGCTGGTGGGAGACCAGCACCACGCCCAGCCGCATTTGTCTTCCCAGTGGCAATGTTTGACACGCCACACTCGAGTACTAATTTAAGGCTGAGTCGACCTAGAGGAAACCCAGGACTGGTTAAGATATTCATCACCGATGTTGGTCATGATCAAGAATGGAACGCCGGTCCCTGGGGTCGTAGGTGCAGTGCAGTAACCACCACACTCCAGCACTGCCCACGCGCACACACTCGACACACTGCCCACGCGCACACACTCGACACACTGCCCACGCGCACACACTCGACACACTGCCCACGCGCACACACTCGACACACTGCGCACGCGCACACACTCGACACGCTGCCCACGCGCACACACTCGACACGCTGCCCACGCGCACACACTCGACACACTGCGCACGCGCACACACTCGACACACTGCCCACGCGCACACACTCGACACACTGCCCACGCGCACACACTCGACACACTGCCCACGCGCACACACTCGACACGCTGCCCACGCGCACACACTCGACACACTGCCCACGCGCACACACTCGACACACTGCCCACGCGCACACACTCGACACGCTGCAGAACACTCACCTTCTGGGGCTGACCAGGAGGGGCAGCAAGCTTTGGCTTCTCTGGCTCCGGGACCCCAAATAAGAACGCGGTGTCCTCTGCATCCACACACACGTACACAGCACGGGCAGCAGCAGCAGCAGCAGCTTGAGTGTCACTGAGCACACCCAAAGACGTAGAACACCCTGCCACCAGACGTCTGAAACGTGCCGAGTGTTTCTCAATTCCGTGGCTTGTGCAAGACGCACCTGTTTAGACTTGACATCAAAGGTGTAAGGGAAATGTTTTTTTCCATTACTAATAATTCATTTTATTAACTTACTATTTTTCTCATGCTATTCGTGGCTCACAGTTGCAAATGACTTTGCTCAGCCGGTGTTCGCCGCTGAGGTCGTGACGGGTTTCTATTCATTCTTGTTGCTCTGTGCCCTCCGCCACCCCCTCATGTACCGTCCCCGTTCTGCTATCCTGTGCAGCGAGGTCCACTTCATTGAGGGCGATATCGCTCAATGGAAGGAACGGGTTAGCTCTTCACTTTTGCAGAGTTGAAGGTGGTGTTTGTTGCTGGCTGCTTGACGTTTTGGGACTTTGGGCCTGTGCTCAGCAACTGTGTTTTTACACTCGGCAATTATAATAATAATCACAGTATAAAACGCACAATGTTCAATCGAGAACTCGGAGTGCAGCCAGAGCTCAAAGTCCCACGTACATAGCGTGAGCAGGTCGGAAGGGGGTGAGAGTCTGAAGGGGGTGAGAGTCTGAAGGGAGTGAGAGTCTGAGGGGGTGAGAGTCTGAGGAGGGTGAGTCTGAAGGGGGCGAGAGTCTGAAGGGGGTGAGAGTGTGAAGGGGGTGAGAGTCTGAAGGGGGTGAGAGTCTGAAGGGGGTGAGAGTCTCAAGGGGGTGAGAGTCTGAAGGGGGTGAGAGTCTGAAGGGGGTGAGAGTCTGAAGGGGGTGAGAGTCTGAAGGGGGTGAGAGTCTGAAGGGGGTGAGAGTCTGAAGGGGGCGAGTGTCTGAAGGGGGTGAGAGTGTGAAGGGGGTGAGAGTCTGAAGGGGGTGAGAGTCTGAAGGGGGTGAGAGTCTCAAGGGGGTGAGAGTCTGAAGGGGGTGAGAGTCTGAAGGGGGTGAGGGTCTGAAGGGGGTGAGAGTCTGAATGGGGTGAGAGTCTGAAGGGGGTGAGAGTCTGAAGGGGGTGAGGGTCTGAAGGGGGTGAGGGTCTGAAGGGGGTGAGGGTCTGAAGGGGGTGAGAGTCTGAAGGGGGTGAGGGTCTGAAGGGGGTGAGAGTCTGAAGGGGGTGAGAGTCTGAAGGGGGTGAGAGTCTGAAGGGGGTGAGAGTCTGAAGGGGGTGAGAGTCTGAAGGAGGTGAGAGTCTGAAGGGAGTGAGAGTCTGAGGGGGTGAGAGTCTGAGGAGGGTGAGTCTGAAGGGGGTGAGAGTCTGAAGGGGGTGAGAGTCTCAAGGGGGTGAGAGTCTGAGGGGGTGAGAGTCTCAAGGGGGTGAGAGTCTCAAGGGGGTGAGAGTCTGAAGGGGGTAAGAGTCTGAAGGGGGTGAGAGTCTGAAGGGGATGAGAGTGTGAAGGGGGTGAACTGAAGGGGGTGAGAGTCTCAAGGGGGTGAGAGTCTCAAGGGGGTGAGAGTCTGAAGGGGGTGAGAGTCTGAAGGGGGTGAGAGTCTGAAGGGGGTGAGGGTCTGAAGGGGGTGAGAGTCTGAAGGGGGTGAGAGTCTGAAGGGGGTGAGAGTCTCAAGGGGGTGAGAGTCTGAAGGGGGTGAGAGTCTCAAGGGGGTGAGAGTCTGAAGGGGGTGAGGGTCTGAAGGGGGTGAGAGTCTCAAGGGGGTGAGAGTCTGAAGGGGGTGAGAGTCTCAAGGGGGTGAGAGTCTGAAGGGGGTGAGAGTTTGAAGGGGGTGAGAGTCTCAAGGGGGTGAGAGTCTGAAGGGGGTGAGAGTCTGAAGGGGGTGAGAGTCTCAAGGGGGTGAGAGTCTGAGGGGGGTGAGGGTCTGAAGGGGGTGAGAGTCGAAGGGGGTGAGAGTCTGAGGGGGTGAGAGTCTGAAGGGGGTGAGAGTCTGAAGGGGGTGAGAGTCTGAAGGGGTGAGAGGCTGAAGGGGGTGAGAGTCTGAAGGGGGTGAGAGTCGAAGGGGGTGAGAGTCTGAAGGGGGTGAGAGTCTGAAGGGGGTGAGGGTCTGAGGGGGGTGAGAGTCTGAAGGGGGTGAGAGTCTGAAGGGGGTGAGAGTCTGAAGGGGTGAGAGTCTGAAGGGGGTGAGAGTCTGAAGGGGGTGAGAGTCTGAAGGGGGTGAGAGTCTGAAGGGGGTGAGAGTCTGAAGGGGGTGAGAGTCGAAGGGGGTGAGAGTCTGAAGGGGGTGAGAGTCTGAAGGGGGTGAGGGTCTGAGGGGGGTGAGAGTCTGAAGGGGTGAGAGTCTCAAGGGGGTGAGAGTCTGAAGGGGTGAGAGTCTGAAGGGGGTGAGAGTCTGAAGGGGGTGAGAGTCTCAAGGGGGTGAGGGTCTGAAGGGGGTGAGAGTCGAAGGGGGTGAGGGGCTGAAGGGGGGGAGAGTCTCAAGGGGGTGAGAGTCTGAGGGGGGTGAGGGTCTGAAGGGGGTGAGCGTCTGAAGGGGGTGAGAGTCTCAAGGGGGTGAGAGTCTGAAGGGGGTGAGAGTCTGAAGGGGGTGAGAGTCTGAAGGGGTGAGAGTCTGAAGGGGGTGAGCGCCTGAAGGGGGTGAGAGTCTGAAGGGGGTGAGAGTCTCAAGGGGGTGAGAGTCTGAGGGGGGTGAGGGTCTGAAGGGGGTGAGAGTCTGAAGGGGGTGAGAGTCTCAAGGGGGTGAGAGTCTGAGGGGGGTGAGGGTCTGAAGGGGGTGAGAGTCTGAAGGGGGTGAGAGTCTCAAGGGGGTGAGAGTCTCAAGGGGGTGAGAGTCTCAAGGGGGTGAGAGTCTCAAGGTGGTGAGAGTGTGAAGGGGGTGAGAGTCTGAAGGGGGTGAGAGTCTCAAGGGGGTGAGAGTCTCAAGGGGGTGAGAGTCTCAAGGGGGTGAGAGTCTCAAGGGGGTGAGAGTGTGAAGGGGGTGAGGGTCTGAAGGGGGTGAGAGTCTCAAGGGGGTGAGAGTCTCAAGGGGGTGAGAGTCTCAAGGGGGTGAGAGTGTGAAGGGGGTGAGAGTGTGAAGGGGGTGAGAGTGTGAAGGGGGTGAGAGTCTCAAGGGGGTGAGAGTCTCAAGGGGGTGAGAGTCTCAAGGGGGTGAGAGTCTCAAGGGGGTGAGAGTGTGAAGGGGGTGAGGGTCTGAAGGGGGTGAGAGTGTGAAGGGGGTGAGAGTCTGAAGGGGGTGAGAGTCTCAAGGGGGTGAGAGTCTCAAGGGGGTGAGAGTCTCAAGGGGGTGAGAGTCTCAAGGGGGTGAGAGTCTGAAGGGAGAGAGTCTGAAGGGGGTAAGAGTCTGAAGGGGGTGAGAGTCTCAAGGGGGTGAGAGTGTGAAGGGGGTGAGAGTCTGAAGGGGGTGAGAGTCTGAAAGGGGTGAGGGTCTGAAGGGAGTGAGAGTCTGAAGGGGGTGAGAGTCTGAAGGGGGTGAGAGTGTGAAGGGGGTGAGAGTCTGAAGGGGGTGAGAGTCGAAGGGGGTGAGAGTCTGAAAGGGGTGAGGGTCTGAAGGGAGTGAGAGTCTGAAGGGGGTGAGAGTCGAAGGGGGTGAGAGTCTGAAGGGGGTGAGGGTCTCAAGGGGGTGAGGGTCTGAAGGGAGTGAGAGTCTGAAGGGGGTGAGAGTCGAAGGGGGTGAGAGTCTGAAGGGGGTGAGGGTCTCAAGGGGGTGAGAGTCTGAAGGGGGTGAGAGTCGAAGGGGGTGAGAGTCTGAAGGGGGTGAGGGTCTCAAGGGGGTGAGGGTCTGAAGGGAGTGAGAGTCTGAAGGGGGTGAGAGTCGAAGGGGGTGAGAGTCTGAAGGGGGTGAGGGTCTCAAGGGGGTGAGAGTCTGAAGGGGGTGAGAGTCGAAGGGGGTGAGAGTCTCAAGGGGGTGAGAGTCTGAAGGGGGTGAGAGTCGAAGGGGGTGAGAGTCTCAAGGGGGTGAGAGTCTGAAGGGGGTGAGAGTCGAAGGGGGTGAGAGTCTCAAGGGGGTGAGAGTGTGAAGGGGGTGAGCGCCTGAACACAGTGTGCAGCGCTGCGTCCGTTCGCAGTGTGCAGCGTCTCACCGTGCAGGCCTGACGGAGATGGCGTGCGCACGTGCTCATCCAGGATTCTCTGAAGCCCGTCCTGCCCGGCACAACCACATCCACACACACACTCAGCGAGACCGAGCCGTAGCGAGACCGAGCCGTGACGTGCCCACACATCATCCGGACTGTCAGGCCAGGAGGCTTGGCGGCAGAGCGAGGAGCGTCTTCGCAGTCGGTAGGTCACGAGTTAAAATCACGGTTGGGGGGTTGACTCAGCCGATAATCCCTCTGGCGTCAATAGAAGAGGTGGGGAAGTCAAAAGCGGTTGTCCTACGGGCAGACTGCCCCCAACCATAGGACGGTGGAATTCCCACCGCTGGCTCAGGGCTATAAGCAGGAGATGAGCACCGATGCCTCGCCGTCCGTTTGAGCGGAAAGTCAATTTTACTCGGACCAGTAGGCTATGCGTGTACGTTGAATTTCTTTCGCACGGTACGTAGCCAACCATGCTAATCGTAGGAGCGGCATACTTTAAGGGTATACTTAATGTATACTAAGGTCATACTTTACACATTACTACCATGCGCAATCTCAAGTGAGTACGGCGAGTGCTCGCTTAACGGACATCCACGCATCGTGCGTTGCGCTGTAAACACGGTTCTTCAGTCAGGGAACACTTTACGTAACACGGCGTTGTAATGCAGTTTCGGAGAGGTCGACGACAAGCTACTTTCTCCAGCTGTGCGGCTGAGTGGTATCAGGATTCTGAGTATACACACGGAATGACACAGTACACGGAGTGATAGAGTAAGTGGTGGCGTACCCTCATGCCATATCTTTGGCCCACCATAGGATGGCTACAGGCTGATTTTAGAAGGTAAATGCGATTCAAATTTCCAATTTTGTATTTACTTCCTGTAATGTATATACATGTAATTCCCTGCTTAATGCGGCACCTTTCAAGAAGAACCCCTTCAACCGCGTTAAACGAGGAATTACTTAGTTTAGAGGTAATTCATCAGCACATGGGATGTTTTTGTTAAGTATGTAACTTATTTCTCACCGTACGTAGCCAACCATGCTAACTGAAGGTGCTTCGGGACCAAACTAGAGCACACGGAGGAAACCTGCGCGGAGACCGGTTTCGAGAACACAACAGCCCGGCCCACAAGCCCCGTCACCCCGTGCAGCACTCACCAATCCCGGCGAGGACTGTGGGGAGCTGAGGCTGAGGGGTGAGAGGGCGCGTCCAACCCCGAACGCGTCGCCGGACAAGGCGTCGAAGCTCATCCTGTCCTGCGAGCCGCCCAGCACGCCGTGCGAGAACGGCCCATCGCTCCCAAACTCGGAGAACTCGGACGAGTCGCGCAGCGGGGAGATGACGCCATGCGCACCGTCCTGGCTGGAGCCTGCGTCGTGCTGCAGCTCGCCCTGGGAGAACGTCTGGTGAAACGAGTGTTGCGCGAACGGAGCGCCCTGCTGCGAGGGCTGAGGCAGGGAACCCTGGGAATAGTCCTGTTGCATGTGCTCCATCGAAGCGAAGACGGGCTGCTGTTCCAAAGGATTGTGTGCGTATGCCTCTTGATCTTGATGCTGGAGCACATCTTGAGAGGCCAGGCGCTCCGTCTGGTCGCCCTGCCGAGCGTGCTGCCGCAAGGCGTCGTGCGTGACCTCCGACGCGTGACAACTCGCGCCGTGCGCCAGCATGCTCTGCGCATGCTGCAGCTGCGCGCCCTGCCGCGTGCGGCGCGTGGAGGCCCTGGTGCTGCAACTGCGGCGCCACCGTGCCGGGCGAGAGCACGCGCGGCGCGTCCGAGCGCGCAGGGCGACCCTGGGAGAGCCTGCAGATCCGGCGAGTGCGCCGCGTGGGAGCTCGCCGCCATCGCCGCCGCCGCCGACGGACGCGATGCGCCGCGCTGCGGCTCGTCGAGCTGCTGCGCGTGCGCCGGCGGCGCGCCGGGCGCGAGCGCCGCGGCGTGCTGAGCGTATGGCGCCGCGGGGGGCACCTCGGGCAGGCACGGGGGGGCGGCGGCGCGAAGAGAGGCGGGCGGCGGTGCCGCCGCCGCCGCTGCGTGGAGAGGGACGGGGCTCTGCGTGTACGGGGCCAGCGAGCCGGAGCTCTGCGCTTTCGGAGGTCGGGGGGCGGCTTTTGTGCTCGGTCGCGAGGGCTGGGGCGGAAGGCTGCTGTGGAAAGCTGGAAAAGGCAACACGAGCGATGGCCGCGTTACGACCACGTGCACCACGGAGCTCGGCGTACGCGGCGAAACCTCTCCACGCTGGACTCGAGTAAGCCAGAATTTGGGGGCAACAAAATAAACAAAGCTACGAACCCTCCAGAAATAATATTGTCCACACACTCATGAAGCTGCGCACGGTAGGCGACGGCGCAAAGCTCAATGCAGATAGCGTGTGGGAAACATGAGGTACGACTTTCGACGGCAGCAAATGTAAGACGACGTCGCCATGCAGTGGCAATTAGCGAGCTCCGTGATTATCTGTTCACGGCGGTCAGTGGACCTGTGCCATTGGGACACCCTCAGGTCGTCACACGCTTGCGCTACCACGGGCCTCCTGTCTCAATTAACCAGTGACCCCCCGGGACACGGCAGCTACGAACCCCCCAGAATGAGCGACCAAAGCACGAGCGCGGTCCTGCACACCTGGAGTGACGGGGAGGGTGGTTGCCGTGGACACCACGTAGGAGTGCGGGAGCCTCTCGTTCGATTCTCCCGGTAACGCGGTCATCTGCAAGGATAACGATAAGCGCGGTTAGCCTCGGCTTGACGCTCTACGCTTCGGCCTGTTGCCTCTGAGACGGCAGCCTTCACACCAACGTTTAGCTATTGCCTCTTGAGCATTGCATACTGGCTTCTGCCCGTGTCGGGTCGAGTCGATTTGTTTGAGCAAGTGAGAGAACTCCAAGAGACCAGGATAAACTCATTTGTTCGAGTGACCTGGGTCGCCAAACTGAAAAAACTAATAATACACAAGTACAGTAGTAGTTCACTGACGTCGGTTAATAGTTTTTCAGTTAACATTTCGCCTCCCATAGGACCTCCCCTGGTTTCGACCAACTGTAAATGTTGGTTAACGGCACGTTTACGTTATGCACGCGGGCGCCAATTTCGGCCAATCTGAGTGCTCGGAAGTGGGGCGAGGCCATGCCCTGAGCTGTCTATGAGCGTTTAGACCTCGACTGGCTTTGTTTACATTGTATTTTGTTTTGGCAGTAGGAAAAGCTTTCTTGCCGATGCAGTGAATTTTACAATTTTTTCAACTTATGAGTATATTCGATGAACAGTTATTTTGGTCAACAGCAGTTTTCGTGGAACGGATGATAAACGTTAACCGAAGGGACTACTGTACAGCGATGAAAACAACAGATATCAGTGCGAAACAAGCGTGTCACCTGAGAAATGTTCAATCATTGCACAAAAATGAATCAATAATAAAATCCCTGTAGCGGTCAGCTGGGGCAGTTCATTTTTACACTGGTCACAGCACAATTATAACGACGTTACAGAGACATGAATAGGCCTTGGCAAGGTAAGGTAAAAACAACGAGCCTACCTTTACCCTACCACAATACAATCACTCTACCGTACCTTTTACCCTTTAGCAAGGTAAGGTAAAAGGTAAAAACAACGAGCCTACCTTTACCCATACAAATTACCCGATTACAGGGTAATGACTGGGGTACTACACATGAAAAATGTTTATAGCGGTAAATGCGAGGTAGAGTGCTTTATTCATATATAGAATACTCTCGATGATTCCAATTTTACACGCTTGTTGTCGTTGTCGTTGTATCCTCAAATCTTGTAACTCAATTTTTACCCACTTCCCAATGTGGTATCGACTGAAACTTGGTTTGCTTATGTCATACTGATGACAATACTATATTCTATCATAAAAAATATATATATTTTTAAACAATCTTTTTCACGTGTTATGTTTCGGCTTGGGTCTAATTGTCCACGGTCAACTGACGTTGGCTGTAATTGGCCACGGTCCCTTACGTTGTGGCAAGCTTTGCGGCCACTTCCTGGAGTCGTGGAGTTTTGCCATTACTAGTACGTTTAATAAAAGCGTGTTTAATTTTTTTTTAAATATTACTTATTAAATGGAGGCCACGGATTGCACCACGGAGCTTTTAGCGGTAAACAAGGCACCGTATTTACCGGGTAATACTTTGCGCTACCTTTACCCTGTACCCTTTACCTTACCCCTTGGCATGTCGACACCGTTACCCTTTTATCCGGTAAAAAGGGTAAATTACCTTACCTTGCCGAGACCTAGACATGAAACAGATATAGGATGATATTCTTTGGTCCTTTCGGTAAAGTCACTATAAAAAGAAAAATAATAATAATAAAAATAAAGAATGAAAATAAAAACTCGAAAAAATACAAATACTGTGGCCTGGTTCTTAATCGGAGTATACTGGCAGTCTATAATGTAGACTGTAGCAATGGTTATTAAGCTGGGTGAGTGAACTGGCAGTCTATAATGTAGACTGTAGCAATGGTTATTAAGCTGGGTGAGTTTACTGGCAGTCTAGAATGTAGACTGTGGCAATGGTTATTAAGCTGGATGAGTGCACTGGCAGTCTATAATGTAGACTGTAGCCTGGTTCTTAACCTCGGTTAGTGTACTGGCAGTCGAAAAACATGTTTTTTTGTGTAGCTACAATCATTAGGTAGCTTATTGTACATGGTCATCATGGACAAAACCGCGTGCAATAACAAAATTCAGGACCTACCGGCATTAGCTGGTGCTGCCGAGACACTTGGGCTACGCCCATCTCCCAACCTCCATAAACAGTTTGCTTATAGAGGCTAAACCCCCTTTTCCTGATGACGACCGCTTGTGTTGAGATCGAAACGTCGGGGCTTTTTGTTTGTTTTTCATTTTTCAGGCTACAGTATACATTATAGACGGCCAGTACACTCACCAAGGTTAAGATTTTAGAAGAGATGCAATTCCAGGTCTTTGGGGCATTGACAAAGAAGCGTTGAGAATCGTGCGAGTGTTTTAGCCCTCGGTGCGGCTGTACGTGTGTGTGCGTACGTGCGTGTGTGTGTACGTGTGTGTGTGCGTGTGTGTGTGTACGTGTGTGTGTGCGTGTGTGTGCGTGTGTGTGTACGTGTGTGTACGTGTGTGTGTGTACGTGTGTGTGTGTACGTGTGTGTGTGTACGTGTGTGTGTGTACGTGTGTGTGTGTGTACGTGTGCGTGTGTGTACATGTGTGTGTACATGTGTGTGTACGTGTGTAGTGTACGTGTGTGTGTGTACGTGTGTGTGTACGTGTGTGTGTACGTGTGTGTGCGTGTATGTGTGTACGTGTGTGTGTACGTGTGTGTGTACGTGTGTGTGTGTACGTGTGTGTGTACGTGTGTGTGTGTACGTGTGTGTGCGTGTGTACATGTGTGTGTGTACGTGTGTGGGGAGCGGTAGTGTAGCGGTTAGCGCGCTGCGCTATGAACCCGGCGACACGAGTTCGATTCCCGCTCACGGCCAACACCAGTGACGATTATCTGAACCGGTCCCGGGCCTCCCCTAGGTCGACTCAGCCTCAAATGAGTACCTGGTGCGGTATGTAAACATTGCTACTAGGGAGACAAAGGCGGTCGGGCGTGGTGCTGGCCACCCACCCCTTCGTGTACCGTTCCGGCCTTCATAGGTGCTCGCTAACAGCACTTGCCCCTACAGTCTGTTAAGGCTATACGGGGGATCTTTTGTGTGTACGTGTGTGTGTACGTGTGTGTGTGTACGTGTGTGTGTGTACGTGTGTGTGCGTGTGTGTACGTGTGTGTGTACGTGTGTGTGTGTACGTGTGTGTGTACGTGTGTGTGTGTACGTGTGTGTGTACGTGTGTGTGTGTACGTGTGTGTGTGTGTACGTGTGTGTGTGTACGTGTGTGTGTGTGCGTGTGGTGAGGAGCGCGAGTGCAGCAGTTAGCGCGCTGTGCTGCAAACCGGGCGATCCGAGTTCGATTCCCACTCACAGCCAACACCAGTGACGATTATCTGAAATGGGTCCTGGGCCTCCCCAAGGTCGACTCAGCTTCAAATGAGTACCTGGTGCGGTGTATAAGCATTGCTACTGGGGAGACAAAGGCGGTCGGGCGTAGTAGTGCTGGCCACCCACCCCATCGTGTGCCACGCCAGCCTTCACAGGTGCTTGCTAACAGCACTTGCCCCAACAGTCTGTTCAGGCTATATGGGGGGATCTTTGTCTTTGTTTGGTGCGCGTGTCCATGTATGTTGAACTTATTTTGCACCAACTGTGCTAATCCATGAGGGCCATACCTGCTCTGTTGACACGTTGGTTTCATTCGCATGCATGTGGGTACTGCTCTCCACCAGAGGGTAGCTCACGCGCCCTAGGAGACCCGTTCACACACACACAGTTTTGTAAGTTATTCCTATGCACTAAAAATAACGGTCACAGCAGCTCATTAAAAAAACATTCCAGCCACCAACAAAGTGTAAGCGTACGTAAGTTCCACATGACACTAGACTGGTGGCAGTTGACGTGCACAGCCAATGAACTAGCTCAACCATGGGCTGTCAACCACGGTTGCAGGTTTCAGTTAACCCTTCCCTTCGCAAGTCAAACATGTTGTTAGTTTCCATTTTTTATATTTAATATTTTTTGGTCTCATTACACATTTTTATTTCCAGTTCACTAATAGCAATGAGAGAATTTTTTTTTTAAACTTCAATCCCAGGCCAGTGCGGTTTGTGTCCAAGAAAAGGCTCACAAGACATTTTCGCAGAACCTCCTCTCATCAGCAGTCAGGCTTTCTTAAACCCATGCAGGTGAACTGGCAGATGTTTATCAGCAAAGAACTGAGAAATGATTCAACGTCAAAACCAGAGCTTAGCTTGTGTTAAGGAAAAGCTGCTGAAACAAAAATATCTCCCGGAAGGCCATGGGTTCGATAAGTAATGCGATACTTTAATTTTTTACGTATAAAGATAAACACGCGAAAGGGAGATCATATCATCCGCTTTGCTTAAACTGTTAATTCGACTATTCGGTGATTTCTGATCCCGTGCCGAGGCAACGGAACAAGAGAGGCCTCATGGGTAAGCGTGGCGTGTGGGGACATTACCGACGGCGCTGCTCTCGCTTTCCGATTCCGACTCGGACTCGCAGGCAGAACTGCCGCTCTGCACAGATGTCTCCTGGGGCTCGGGCACCTCTGCAGAACGAGGAGGAGAGACGGCAGAACGAGGGGTCGTGAAAAAGTAACCCAAGTTATGGGGGGGGGGGGTGGCACAGGAGACAGGAGGCAGAGGCAAATCACGAGAGCAAAACCTTCAAATGGATTTTTATCACCCTCCCCTGTTGTACGATGTTTAACAATGTTACACCATTGTGGTGCCCGCCTGTAAAACCAAGTCATGGGAAACGTTAGGCCTGGTTAAAATACACATAAGCTGCATTGTGTTTTAACTGTTAACATGTAGGCTTCGCGCCCAATATTATTAATAATAAAGGGTTTTATTGAGGTTAGATCGCGTAAGCATAAATGTGTCGTTAAAGAAAACCACCACCCGACAGCCAATTAGGAAAGGTTTGTCACGTAAACTGAACGTGTCAATTAGTGACTACTTCAGCACACTGGTGTGTTGGAGCATGAACCTAGATTTAAATCTGGTTATTGCCTGATGAAGCTGGTTGTAAATGGTAACTGATTGGCACGTTCTGTTTACGTGACAAACCTTACTAATTGGCCATGACGGGTAGTGGTGGCTTGTTTAACGACACATATATTTACACGATCTAACGGTGAGGTCGCGCAGACGACCCACGTTTACCGCGGAGTAACGGCCCATTGCGTGTTCGCAAAGCACATGTTGCTGACACCCTGGACACCCTCGCGGCTCCTCTGCGAGGGATTATCCAGGTGAATCAGTTTCATAAAAATATAGGCAACAGCGACAATTACGCCTAATGTCCACTTCATAAAAGTGCTCAGGTGTTAATACAACTCCCCTTCTGAGAGGAGTTGACATCTTTACATACCCCGTATGTGCTTTTACCAAAGCCGATGATATTGTACAACCCTACAGGCGAGCGCTCCCACAGGGAAACGACATTGACGTGGTGTTAGATTGCGAGGGATTTGTCGGCACCTTTCTTCACAGCGGCTGCTCGGTTCGGCGGTTTCCGTTCGCCTAAATCTCCGCGCGCCTTTCCTTTACCTGTAAGGGGGGAGCAAGTCGGAACACGCCGCACGTTGCGAGCGTGAGAAGTGCAACCATTAACGCGGTAACAACGCAGATTTCCCAGCACGCGTAGGCCCAAACCGCACAAAACACGCGAAAATGTTCACATATCGGTCCTTACGCATAAAAAATAGACATCCCATAAGGCACAAGCACAGTCATCTGGGAGCGCACCGTACCAGCAGCATTGAATCAACACGACCGGTTTGGAATTTATTGCCTTATCATTCCTCTTGAAACAATGATGGTGAACTGCCGGATGCTCATAGGCAAGGGGACCTCCGTGTGTCGCATACGGGGTCTCGGTTCGTCGCACGGGTCATGTGATGCACGTCGCAACATTAAGCCGAGCATTACCGTGTTGCTGCTGCTGCGGCGCGGCACGCTGCGCCCGTTTTCGCAGGCAGGCGCCCACGTATCTCTGCAGCTCGCGCAGCGTCGACACCTTGAGCGTCTCAAAGTCGATCTCGATCTCATCGGGGTTGGAGCCGCGCAGTGACGGCTGCCGCGCCTGGATGATGTGCACCACGCGACCCAGGCGATCGCCCGGCAGCTTGTTGATGTCCAGGCTCAGCTGCCGCTTCTCTTCGTACGACATGGGCGACTTGCTCTGCGGCAAGGAGGGGGCATCGCTCGCCGGGAAGTCGAACAAGTCATCCGCCGCGCGGCCCTGGTTGTGGTGCGGAGGCTGCGAGAGTGACCCCCCGATCCCCCCACCTCCCAGGGCCCCCCCGCCGCCTGCCACGGGTAGAGACGACGAGGACGTGGAGGTCGGCGTCAACGCGCTCCCCGAGGACGTTACGGATCGGCGCGGTTTCCGCAGCGGCCTTCGGGAGAACAAAATCCCGTTACGGGGAAAGGGCGCGCTTGCACACAGCATGCTTGCACAAGGCACGTTGATAGAACAGGAGCTGGGTACGCGCACTTTTATAACTAATCAAGACATAATATATAGTACCATACAAAAGCAATGCTTTATTATATGCAATAGTAACAGAAGAACATCTTTGTACTTGTGCAGTGACTTCCGAGACACGCCGAGTAGAAGGCTTCTTATTTATTAAGAGCACACTGGGCGAGACATTGTGTAACGCAGCTACACACAGGCGATCCTAACACGTAGCCCAATCTCCGGCTTCGCTACGCAAGCTGTTCGACCAGCACAGCCACGGCGAGAGTCTTCAGAAGATCAGCCACGTGGTCGGAGACGAAGAGACGAACAGCGACGCAGCCAGGACCCAGGACCCGCAACAGCCACGAACCTCTGGTTCAGTCCCCCTTACATCTGTCCCGGCGGCGTGGCCAAGCTCCACCTCTAGCCCCGCCCCCTTTCCAGAACCTTCGAGCTGGTCCCAGCGCGTCTCGACTGACTCCGCCTTTCACCTTTACCCCAGTTACGCCGCCCTTATAATAAGGTTTTATGTCATGCAGCTATGACCGTAATTACCACTCCCGGCCGACAGGTGTCACCCTGTCATTACACTTGTATAAATCTGTTTTTGACGAGTGTGTCGAGTTATTTAAGTTAATTGTGCTTGTGCACCACTGTCAATGCAGCATCACCAGATAATTTGTTTAAAGTGAGGCTTTACTGGGGTAAACAAGCGTGTTGACAAAACGCGTTTCGCAAACGCTGCTCTTCCATTAGGGAACACGTTTGACACAACGAGAAACGTGTCCCGTTATAACGCAGAACGTACACCATTATAATGTGGAACGTGTCCCGTTATAACGCAGAACGTACACCATTATAATGTGGAACGTGTCCCGTTATAACGCAGAACGTACACCATTATAATGTGGAATGTGTCCCGTTATAACGCAGAACGTACACCATTACAATGTGGAATGTGTCCCGTTTTAACGCGAAACGAACACCGTTATGTGGAACGGTCCCGTTATCATGCATGCTATGGTTTTCCCACCTGATGATGATTGCTTGTGTTGCAATCGAAACGTTGTGATTTATTTAATTTTCTACCTACGTGACTTTACCGAAAGAACCAAAGAGTATGGATTCCTGCAGTCACGAAAGCTTCAAACTAGATAATGCACACCGTTATAACATGGAACGTGCACAATTATAAAATGTAATGTGCACCGTTATAACGCGGTTTCTGAGTGGTCGACGACGAACTACATTTTTGAGCTGTGTGACTGATCGGTATGAGAATTCTGGGTCTACGTGTGATACAGTACGTGGCGGCATACCCTCATCTCAGTTCTTTGTCTCGCCATGGGATGACGGCAGGCTGATTTTATAGTGCAAATGCGATTCATATTGGCAATGTTTAATTTACCTATTTATGCCCCTTCATGTATACATTAATTACTTGCTTAACACAGAAATTTTCAGGAACGCATCTACTGCGCTAGCAGCTGCCGACCATCGTCATTTAGCTGGTCTGGCCTATGCCTTCCAAACACTGCTGCTAAGTGCTAGCATCATGACCGACTCAGCACTGCCTGGACTTCTGTGGAACACAGGAGGTGCGTTGGACGTGTGCTGGGGTGGATAGTCCTCTACTCAGGACCGGAGACCATCAAACAACAGGGAGTTGCTCGTCTTGTCAACACATGAATTAACAGTATATGGGAACAAAGCGGTGGTGAGGTGTGGGATGAATCGAGTCCCAGGCTGCAATGGGCTCTCCTCCCCATCAACAGAAGGCGAGAAATGGTGGTAGTGGTGGCTTATGTTCCCCCCACCCAAGATAAACATCAGTGGAGTGATGCAGGCAAAGGTTGATGAGTAGGCTGCTTTCAATGACCTCTTATTCGCTAAAGTGACCCCGAGGAATGGAGTCACTTTATCGAGTAACGTCAATACAGTGATGCATATGCGCTCGCACACACACACGGAGAGACACCGTGAAGCACTTACTTTACTGGGAGGGCGGCAGTTCCTCTTTTCAAGTGCTTCTTAGAGGCCGCGACCTCTCGGCCCCGTTCCCTTTCTCGCCGTCGCCCCTTCCTCTCCCGCTCTCGCTCGCGCTCCCTCTCGCGCTCACGCTCCCTCTCGCGCTCCCTCTCACGCTCCCGCTTCTTGTTGCGAGGCTTCACGAGGGGCGCCTGGGACAGCGCGGCCAGCTGCTCGTGCACGGCTCGCAGCTGGGTGGCGCGGGCAGGCGACGAGGGCAGCGCGAGCGACGGGGGTGCACGACATCCGGCAACGGAAAAACAGAGAAACGCAGAGAGCAGCGGTTGGGGTGAAAGAGGATGCATGGCACCGACATGGCCCGGCGGTAGCCCCATTCGCCGCTTGTCGTCAAGGATCACGGTTTGAGTCAAGCGGACGCCCCGGTTAATACTGCAGTGCGGAATTAACCATAAAAATACCACGCGCCGTCTGCTTCACGCCGGACATTAAAAATCCCGTGATGCCATTCACAAAAGTGGCTTATTGTGTGTCGCAGTCAAAATGTGATAGGGGGAATTTGGTCACAGCGGGCAGAAAATATCTTTGGAAGTGAAACCTTTTTTGTAGTTAGAAAGCAACGTAGTGATGCGTCAGTTTTGAGGTTTGCCACTGTCCACATGCTCTTTGTATTTGCATATTCGCATGTGGGAAGAGGAGCACTGTTAGCATCGCCGGTGTAAGTGGTGAAGATGACATCGCAGCTGCTTAAAAGGTTAACGTTGAAGCCGGTCCAGTTCTCTCGTGTTTAACCAATGCTGCTCAATAAATGCACTCCAAGAAGGCCATGTGGCTGACAGGATGTGCAAAGACTACTTGTAATATATTATGAGGAGAATGCGATGATAAGGCGTAATCTGCATATTTGTTATTTATGTTCATCACAACGATGCAGATGATTATCGCGCGTTATCCGTTACATAGTTCTGTTGGTTTAGGCAAGCCTGACTGCTGATGGGACAATGAATGTCAAAACCAGTGCATACTTTGCTTGTATTAAACCAATGGTGCTGAAGAAATGAACTCCCAGAAGGCCGTGTAGCTGACGAGATATGTAATTAATACGTAGTCTGTTTTTCATTAATTCAGTAGTTGCATTCTTGAAGAACACCAGTGTTATGGAAAAATCGCGTTATAATTAACTGAAAGACCCAACGAATATGTAATATGTAATACAGGCTAAAGCACAGTGAGATGCATATGCAGACTGAACAAAAACTGAGGCACGTGGGTAGCATCTCGAAGCATCCTGCTTTGTGATGCTACGCCGGGGCTGCCGAATAATGGCATAGATCCAATTAGCATCTGCGTTATAAAAAGCATGTGATCCCTAAAACATTCACCATCGCGTTATATACAATTCGCGTGATGAAAACACACGTTACAGAACATTTGTTTTCTTATGTGGAGGGACAGACATGGGAAGGAGAATTGTCTGCTTATTAATTTTGTTACGTTGGTCGGAGCCCGGATTTTGTGCAAGACCAAGGGTGCACGCGGGTCAGGGGCATCGCTGTGTGGAGACAGCGGGTACCTGCTCCTGCAGCTGCACCAAGCGGTGAGTCCGGTCTTCCTCGCTGCCAGACTCCACGCTCCCCGAGCTCTCCCTGGCTCGCACCACTGGGAACAAAACACCCACAAATCCGGCACCAGCTTCCACTTTCAAACCACTCCCTTCTCGCTCGGTTGATTTTCCACGTCAACTTACGCGGAGATTCCCAACTCGTGATTTTGCTGATTTTTGTGGGGAGCGAGGATCAGATCAGGCATGAAGCCAAGACTGCACAATGCAGCTCAGCGACATTGGAGATGTTAACTACCTCCCCTGGTATACAGGCAGTTGCGAGTTCGATTCCGAGCTTGACGCCTGCTGTATATTTGGAGTTTGTGTGTCTCTCTCCCAGTGATCGTGTGGATTTCTCCTCGGGTTCTCTGGTATTTCCCTCCATATTTATAAACATGCATTCAGAGTATTTGGCCGCTATAAATGTCCACATAATAAGCCACTTCGTTGAGCTATCATTTGTGGCCTGGTCACTTCTGAAAAAGACCTATATAGCTCAGTGGGTCATACCTGATAATATAAAAAATAGTTTAGTAGTAGTTTACACCGAACACTACAGCCGAGCGATTATCGCGATCGTGTATCTAGTTTTCAAATTACATGACATACAGAGTTCCACTGAATACCCAAGGAAGAAAATTATTTGCACCATTTTTCACGATGCTGTTGTGATCATCAATGTCCTCATCCTCCTCATCAGAGGCGATGCTGCTGCCGTCTGCGGAGCTGTTTCCGAGCGAGCACGTGTCGTTGGAGTGGTTGACGTGGCGACAAATGCCGGGCGACAGGCTCCGCACGGCCGCCGGCATCCTGGCAGGCTGACCGCTCGCCGAGGGGGGCGGGGGGTCGACCGGGTCATCGGGCATCCTCGCAAATCGCATCTCAAACACGTCCTGCATTCACACAAAGACAATGACCCCCCCCCCCCCGTGCAGCCTTAACAAAATGTTGGGGCAAGTGCTGTTAGCGAGCAGCACCTATGAAGGCTGACACGGTACACGAGGGGATGGGTAGCCAGCACCACACCTGACCGCCATTGACTCCCCCAGTGGCGATGTTTGCACACCACACCAGATACACATTTGAGTCGACCTACAGGAGGCCCAGGAGCGGTTCAGATGATCGTCAATGGTGTTTGGCCATGAGAGGGAATCGAACTCGGGTCGCTGGGTTCATGGCGCAGCACGCTAACCGCTACACTACCGCTTCCCACACACACACCCACAGTCCTCAGTCTCAGCAGACCAGCTATCGGCATGCTCGATTCTGCTTGTGAATTTATTGGCATGTGCCACAGATCTAATTGGTAAAGTTGGTAACAAAATTAAATGTTTGAAGACCATTTTTTGTTATCACACCAATGTTGCCAATTAGATAACATTAATCTATATATATAAAATCGCAAATCTGTCTGTCTGTCTGTGTGTCTGTGGCGCCGGACCATACGCAATTTCATTGGACGAAATGTGAGGGATTTGCGAGACACGATTGGTCCGGCGGTTGCCCCTGGCAACGGGTAGCGACGCATTCGCTGCGGGGTGGACGTCCTTTTTAATTCCCGTTAAAAATATGCGCACGCATTAACACGCGACTCTGAGGTAAATTCATCAAAGTTTCACGTCCTCTTCACTCCGCCGCCACCCCAATGTGTGCAATTACTATTATAGGGTCGGTAGATAATAAAATTATAGCGATTAGACAGTATTATTGTAGAGCGGGGGGGGGGGGGGGTAACGGCCCCGGTACCCAGCCTCAGCCGGGTGGGCAATCTAGGCGAGGCCGGAGGCTCTGCATGGGACTAGGCCTCGACACCCCACCACACTATAGGCCGTACATATCACTGCACAGTGGCCGAGGAGCTCGTGGCTGGGGGGGGCAGGGGTAGCAGCCCATCTGTGTATATATGTAAGGTTATTAAGAAATATATTTTTCACCCGGGCAACGCCGGGTACTTCTGCTAGTATTCTCTACATATTTCACAGCAAACTTTCACTTTAAGGGGTTATTTGTGGAATTACAATGTAATACTTAAGGTAGAGGTAAAAGTAAATTTGACAAACGATGTGTAATGTTTATTGCTTTGCTTAATTCCTCATTGTATATACGTTAAATAATGTAATGTACACAAGCAACAACATGCCGGAATCAGCACTGCACATTGCGGATGTGTTGAATTGCAGTATTGATGCGTGTTTCGTGTGTGTTGTTTATGTTCATTGCTGTTGTGCCATGTTCCTCATATAATTGGCAAAAACGAAGATCTTGCTATTTTTCCTACTTTTGAGCTCGTATGAAAATTTGAACCGGTTGAAAGCAGCTGTCCGAAACTGAACCTTCGGAGAGAACTTTAGCTTAACCCAAACCGTCGCCAAAAGTGAATCCGTTTGACCACGTGATTCGCACTCTTCCCAGTCATGTACAGTTACAACATGCAGGCACTGCATGTGTCAGTCACGGGTACTGCAAGTTCCGACCATGTCCGTCCAGTGTTGTTGTCCTTCTCCTGCATCTCCGATTAGCACGGTTGGCTACATACGGTGCGAAAGAAGTTCAACATACATCCATGCAGTGCTCGCTGAGCTGCATTGGCTTCCGGTTGCCGAATGAATACATTGTAAGATCACACTCATGACACACAAAGTGCTTTCCACAACTGAATCACAATTCCTTGCCGATTTCGTCAAGGAGCATAAATTATCACGCAAACTCCGGTCCTCCTCGCAGCGGGGTTTGACTCGCCATCGAACAAAGACGGTCACCGCATCGCGTGCTTCCAGATGCACTTCTGCACCCGTCTGGAACGCTCTTCCTCCGATATTAGGAAGCCCCACTGGAGCTATGCACTTTTAAATCCAGATTGAAAACTAGTTTTCTTCTAACTGGTTTTAGTGTTTAGTTTACTGTCCTTTCCCCGCACCTCCGACTTGCGTGGACGGATACGTAGGGTGCAAAATAAGTTAAACATACAAACAATGCTGGGACATTCCAGGCACGAAGTCTGCTTTGCTGTTCTGGGCCAACCGCACTGTGGCCTTGTGGGTGAAATGCGGGACGGCATGTGCCACGTTTGACCCATCCTTGCGGACGATCCGACGTCGTGAGGTGCCGTGTGACCTCTGACCTGCAGTTTGCGGGCCATAGCCACCACGTCGTGCTCCGGCGGATTGTATTTGTAGCAGTTGGAAAACATGAGTCGCACGTCGCTCGCAAACTCTTGACCGTTTGCGTATTCGCGGGCTTCCAGCTTCCGCTATACAACACACACACACATGCGCGCACACAGGAACATGTCAATATTGATATTAGTGAGACTTTAATCATATATACAGCATGCCCGCCTCCATATGGCCATCCAGCTTATCAACATTTGACAACTGCAAGGTCTTGCATCATCTGTATCAAAGTTGTGTTAAAAAGTTTAACACGTAGGCTTTCGCGACCAATATTATTCATAATCAACATTTACAATTTTTTTTGTAAATGTTGTGGTTTCACGCTTCAACACACCGGTGGGCTAAAGCAATGAACTATTTGTCTTTTGTCAATGTGACACTTTTTTTGATGATTGGCCGTGTCGGGTGGTGGATGGTTACGACACATTTATAAATAACGCGATCTAAACCCAAAAACGTTGATTAGTGTTAAAAAGTCAACATTTATTTGGGCAACTTCAATACCAGTAGAATTGAAACAGATGAACATACTTTGCCAACATGAACAACAATTATCCAAGACATAATAATAATCACTTTCAGTTCTTTGGCAATCTACTGCTGGATGAAGGCCTTCCCATGCCATATGGGGATTTTAGACCATACTTCACCACGCTGGTTTGTGCAGCCAGCAGCCTCCATTGCAAAAACAAACGGACATCAGAGAAATAACCGGACGACACGATGCTTCAACAGAGAAATAAATAAATAAAAAGTTCAAATATTAATTACGTTCTATTCGCAGAGATCAGGTAAAACAACTCCATAACCACAGCTACAAATTGATAAAAAAGTAAAGCGTGCAATGCCTTATATTAGGAAATAAATTACGACGACTTACAAGTTTGATGACTGTAGGGTTTGTTTATTACTCAACAGCTACTATTCATATGCCAATTTAAGTAGGAATATTTGTATCATGGAATTCTCATGGTGTTATAGAAGTCTCCAACTCACCCTGATGGTGCCCAAGTCCATGGGATGCTTGATTATATCATGGTAGTCGTGCAGGCCAAGGGCGCGCGCATCGACGGGGTTGTAGAAGGGCCAGGCATACGCGGCGTGGTTCTTGCTGATGAGCTCCTTGAGCAGCGAGCCGCAGTAGCGAAGCTGCGTTGACGGGCGGCTTCTGCTGCAAAGCGTGAGGGCACACGACGCCACGCGAGTGAAACGCACGCACGAGTCACGCACATAAGTGCGCGCGCATTTACGGGGCACAGTATTCATCACACGTGCCCATGCACAACTTTCCCTGTATATTGAAAAAAATATATATATCTGAGCAAATGTACACAAACCAACACACAGCACTAACAAGCATCTTTGCTCGTCCCGTGATCCAATTACAATCGGATTAAGGAAACAATTTTTAACTTGGTTTAGAGACATGAACGCACATGAACGTGTGCAGACAACACAAGCACAAAGTAAAAAAATCCCCGTAGAGCCTTTAACAGCCTGTTGGGGCCAGTGCTGTTAACGAACAGCAGCTATGAAGACCGGCACGGCACATGAGTGGGGAAGGTGGCCAGCATCACGCCGGGCCGTCTTTGTCTCCCCAATTGTGATGTTTACACACCGCACCATTTGATTTAGTAGCTGGTAAATCGACCGAGGGAAAGCCCAGAACCAATTCGATAATCATCATGGATGTTGGCCGTGAGCTGGAATTAAACTCAGGTCACCGGTCTTCGTAGCGCTGCGCACTAACCAATGCGCCACCGCCCCCCACGCACGTATGCAGACGCGCATGTACATACCTGCGCTGGGTACTGACGTGCGTGGCCCCTACTCCTACTCCTGGGCCCGTGCCCACGCCCGCGACCGCAGCCCGTGCCCACGCCCGCTGCCCACCGCCACGTTGGCCATGGATATCTCTTTCCGCGGGGGCTTGATCACTCGCGGGCCGCCCCGCTCCCGCTTCACGCAGCCCTGGGCTCCCCCCGCCGCCTCCCTCTGCGCCCCACCAATGCCAGGAGCCGCCACGGGGGTCGCAGCAGGCAGCGTGCTGTGTGCCACGTTCGGGGAACTCTCCTCGCTGTTGATGCCCGGCGCCGTCAGGCATCGCCCTCCGGATGCCGTGGGCCCTCCGGGAGCCGGGAGCATGCTGGGCGTTGTAGTGTCCGCTTTCCTTTTGATGCCTTTCCTCACCTGTGAGCACGGTACCAAGAGACAGCGACGGCAGCCATTACTATCATTTATTTCGTTACGTTTGTTTATACCATTTTTAAGGAGGGTACGGACACGTATTCGGAGCAATAATCACCGTGTATCTTCCAATCGGGAAATTTGCAAGTCATTTTTCTAATTTGAACCATGAAGCCAGCACACAATGGGCCTACTCTTGTGAATGATGTCACCGGATCTTCACCGTCCACTTGTCGAAGCAGACTGCTGTGTAGTATTTGTATTTCATTTGCTAATCTACCCCTGCAGCATTAACCAGGGTGGCCGCTTGATTCGAACCGTGAAGCTCTGCAACAAGTGGCGAATGCACTACCGCTGGGCCACGTCACCACCCTGGAAGACTGCGTGGATACATACGGCGTACCAATGCTCACGCAAAGGGGACACCTGTGATTAGGATGAAGTTATTAATTGAGACTGCATCAATAACTGTGCTGTAGACACACGTGCGCACACACACACAGTCGTGGCTGTGCACATCATACCCTGGGTATTATGTGCGTCGCAGTGCTGGGGTTGACGCTGGTTGCTGTGGTAACTGGTGGCCCATGGACCAGTAATGGAGGAGGAACCCCAACCAACTTTGGAGCTGCTGTAAGAAATCACAGAAGTATTCACACGCAGATGTTTACAAATTAATAAAAGCGGACACTCAATGCCTAGTATCGTAGCGGTTTGCCCAAAAAACAAACATGCTACGCCACACCACTATATGTTCATTTAACAAAGTTATTTAAAATAATTAACAGGGCTATACTTTGATTCATAATTGATTTCGGGATAGGCCACAGAATGACCTGAATAGATTTGTGTCGTTAAGACCCTTCAGATCATTATGTGGCCGAATCCACAAAAAAATATTGAGAAGAATTTTTGGATGCCAAAAGCATAGGCATTCAGATAACCGTATTCTACTGATCCTCTATATAACTCGTAGTTGCTCATGGGTAGAGGCTCCTAGAGGGCCTGCACAGGGTAGAGACAGTGCCTACCGCAGGGGTTGCACCCGTAAGGGTCTCTCTGACCGAGGTTCCACGGTGGTGCCGTGGGAGGCTGGGATGCCACCGAGTCACAACGATCGCCCGCTGCACGAGTTACGTGTGGTAGAGGAGCGTCCCAGAAAGTGACGGCGGACTGGACTGCATTGCTAGCCCTTGACCTAATAAGACAATGGCCTGTTCATATGGGCATGAACATGTGGGAGATACGCGTCCCCCATCCGTAGCTTGCAGTACCTCCACCTCAGTGGTTCTCAACCTTTTTGGTACGGCGATCCCCCACTAAGGACCAGAACTTGAATTGACTCTTCGGTGCAGATATTACTTTTACGACAGATGATGAGATGAAAACTGCGATCAGTGTGTGTGTGCTCATGATTATCCTGTGTGGTCTAAATGTGAATGTAGAAGCGCCAGTATTAAACGTATTTGTCCTACAGCCCATATTCACTGATAATCACAAAGACCCCTCCCGTATAGTCTGTAACAGACTTTTGGGGCAAGTGCTGTTAGCGAACATCTATGAAGGCCAGCATGGCACATGAGGGGGTGGGTGGCCAGCACCACGCCCAGCCGCCTTTATCTCCCCCAGTGGCGGATTACACACCACACCGCACCAGGTACTCGTATGAGACTGCATCGACCTTGGGGAGGCCCTGGACCGGTTCAAATAATGGTACACTGGTGTTGGCCGTGAGCGGGAATCGGAACTCGGGTCGCCGGGGTTCGTAGTGCAGCGTAGCGCTAACCACTACACTACTGCTCCTGACAATCACATACACAAGCACACAGGCACTGGCACTGTCACCCTCATACACTCGCAGCCACCTTCCCCTCTGCGGAATCGTGGGAAACTCGGAATGGGAACCGTTTAGAAAAGTGCCGGTGTTACACATGTCTGGTGTTCCGAGTAGTGCCGGAATGGCATTCTGTCATATATCGAAACGTTTCCACGGCCACCGATTGTCCCTGAATGCCCATGAGGGGCCCAACCATCGTTTTTTGAGCCAATGTGAGAGGTACCAGGTTTTCGCCCCCGCCCTCTGGCGGCGCCTGTAGTGACAGGCGTCTCCTCCACTGGCATTTCTGTGATCTTCTGGAGGAACGCCTTTTCAAGAGCTTGAGCCATAATCGCGATGTCATCGCCAGGCTGGAAAAGCACACAAACACACAAACGTAATAGTTCATTTTTGGATGTCCCCAGCCCCAAACACCTGAGTGTACTGGAGTCTTTACATTGTATCTCATCTTAAAACATTTGAAAGGGCACACCCAGTGGCAACTGTCCCTGTGGGTACAAGGTGACACGGCATCTCGGCCTGCAAGCGGACATTAGTCTGCCAGTAGGGGGGCAATGATTGCGATAAAGTGTAATCCTAATTGAGTAGTTTGCAGGTAATGTTAAAATCTGGCAAATGTGAGCACACATTGGGGATTGTTTTACACGATATTTATATTTGTTTACTCAGGAAAACTACGCGGAGACTCATGACTCTTTTTGAGTAGGGTCCAGCCAAGCTTTCACGGATTCTAATTGGATAATCTATTAATACTAATGTGGGAAACTGTCAAGGGTGCAAGGAAGATACTTGATTAATGCACAATAATGCACGACATACAAAGACAAAGATCCCTGTATAGCCTTAACAGACTCGTTGGGACAAGTGCTGTTAGCGAGCACTTTTTAAGGCTGGCACTGCACACAACAGAAGTGGTTGGTCAGCATCATGCCCGGCCACCTTTGTCTCCCTCGTGGCGATGTTTATATACCACACCAGGTACTCATTTGAGTCAGAAAATCATCACTGGCATTGGCCACGAGCGAGAATCAAACACTGGGTCGCCAGGGTTCGTAGTGCAGTTCGCTAACCATTCCACTATGGCTCCCTAAGCAATGGGCAGCACACGCGTGTTCACGCACACAGCCTCACCTTATTGTACACGTAGCAGTTGTTGAACATCGTCTTGAAGTCACTGATGCACTCGCTGGCACTCCAGTAGTAGCTGCTTTCCAACCGCTGCTTGATGGTCCCCATGTCCATGGGCTGTTTTATAATCTTGTGGTAGTCCTGTAGCCACGCGCGCATTGCCACAATTATAATCACCTTCAATATCACTTGCGTTCAGATCAACGTGTGGGCATCTTTTGAGTGCGTGGCACGCTTAGTGACTTGACACCGGATGGGTAGCGAATGATACCGATCCCACTTCTGGACCCATAACCACAACCCGTACCTCAGAGCGGGTCGCTGCCTGAAACATCTGGCACTTCAGATAAGGATCAGAAGATATATTTACAATGGAGGAATCCAATGAGCTATGAAGCTCTTTTTCACAGATGTCCAGTAGGGGCGAGGAAGAAAGTTACAACAACAAACAATACAAAAACACGATACTAGTGCAAAGTACAAGAATGGTAAACAAACCAATCACACACATCCAAATAAAACTAAACCATCCCCATCCTGCCAGGCATAGCCCACTGACGAGAGACACTGCATGCCTAAATGGTCCAGAGTTTTGCTTGTCTTGAATCAATGCAGGTGAAATGACGTTCTCCCAGAAAGCCCTGCAGCCGAGGAGTTGTATAATAAAGACTCTTAACATTCACGCAGAGAGATTGATAGGTGCAGTAGACGCATAGTCTACTTCTCTATTTTTTTGTTACACCGAGGCCCTTCGTGGTTGCTTTGGGTACCGGCAAGTTGAGTGCAGCCGCATCCACTGGCTGAAGGAAAGGCCAGGCGAAGTGATGTCTCCACAAGACCTTGAGCACGCTGCGCTGCATGAACTGCAGCTGGTTGGTGAGCTGGTAGGGGGCCCCTGGCCGCGTGGTCTCGGGGGGAGGAGGGTTCACGATCTTTCCCGGAGGGTTTGTGGTCATTGTCGGTGTCGTCGTCATGGTCGATGAGCCTGCGAGAGTGGCAGCAACAGCAGCAGTGTCACAGGAGCTCCGCATCACACAAACACACCCACTTTCCGCATCACACTATGGATGCTCGCATCACATATAAGCCACAAGCAGGCCTATAAACGCCTCACGTGCAAACGATATTCTTTTCAGAATGGTCAGTCTACATCAGATTTTGAGAATAGGTCACAATGTCCACTGTCGAAGTCAGATTTAATGTTCCAGCGCTGTATATAACATCACCGCACCTCTGATTAGCACGATTGGCTACGTTCGGTGCTAAATAAGTTCAACATACACACGGTGCAAAAGAAGTTTGACATACATACATACATATCAGGGCAAGATGAGAAGTTAATATTCCGTTTGTTTACCCAGGAAAGCCTTACTGAGCTCAAGACTTTTTCATGAGGGTCCTGCCTACATTTGCCCAGTTGGGGGCGATGTTGCTGCTGTGTGATCCAAATTGGATATGCCACAACCCATCACGCAAACTCCGGTCATCCTCGCAGCAGCGGCTTTTGGCTAACCATCGAACAAAGACGGTCACCGATTTGTGCGCATTCAAATGAACTTCTGCGGCCGTCTGGAATGCTCTTCCGATATTAGGAAGCCACTGGGAGCTATGCGCTTTAAAATAATCGAGATTGAACACTCATTTCTATGGAACTGCTTTGTGTTTAATTTGTTGTCCTTCCCCCCGCACCTCCGATGAGCACAGTTGGCTACGTACGGTGCGAAAGATGTTGAACATTCAGTACATACACCCAAAGATATAGATTTTTCTTTACTTATACAGTAGCTGCAGTGTGGAGGGGAGGTGGATTGGGTAAAAGGCGGAGAGGCCCATGGTTTCTCATTTGCACATCAGGCAAGCTGCCAACACAGCCCGGATCCCAGTGCTCATGGAAACGAGGCACTCATTAATGCCTTGGCACCCTTCTTCTGCTGTGCCATTCCCAGAGTCATGACGTCACTACATTACCACAGCAATGAGATCACGTACGCTGCCACGTCGCTCACCTACTCAGCAGTGTGAGCGATAATATATGAATATGTACAGAAAACTAAATACGCTGCCTGCACTATTTAAACTGACGAAATAATAACATTACCATATTTTCTTACTTTCCCAGTTTAGACACTTGCCTACAGGGGCTGTGCCCTGCCAGGGGCAGTTGCTGGGTGGTTGTGGGTAGGGGAAAGGAAATAGAGAGAGAAACCCGATGAGGAGAAAACAAGAATGAGGTCATGCAAAAGCTGCGGACTATGGTTTGCAAGACAAGCCAGTGGACTCTCGCTCAATTCGTGAGCGAGGGTCCTGGTGTATGACCAGGCCTACATAGTAAGAGCTTGGGAACGCTGTCATACAGCGGTTCTCAACTTGTGGTGAGCAAACCACTGCGTGGTTCCACAAGAGCCAGGGAAAGTGCTCCACGGAGCTGTTGCGGAAACAGTAGTAGCCTGGTTAACGTCGGCTATGCATTCCCGAGAGGTGAGACAACGAATATCGAAACGACGTAAATTAAAGCGATTTTTCCACGAGAGATAAACAAAGACAGATGCGGGTACATGTTGACGCTGCGTTAATGCACACATCTTCATCCTAGACATACCCACATTACTTTTAATTCCTCATAATACTGTACAGCACTAAAATGTTAACACAAAATTTACAGGGTAAGATAAGAAAAAGTATGCTATAAAAATCACCAAAATACTGTACGTAAATAAATATATTGTACTCTATAGTGCAGTACATTTCTTCATGGGCGACGCAAAGTCGTTTTTCTACAGGGTAAGTGGAAGCGAAAGGCCGAGGAGACGGACACGAGAAAGGACGGACGATGATCCTGCCAGCGACGCGAGTGTGGGCTGAGGCGATGCAAATCAAGTCGCGGTGTTAATAATAAAGTGACGACATGTTTGGGAAACGACGTAAAGGGGGGAGGACGTAATACAGAGTATGTCCTCGGATATTTTTCACAACACAGTATTTTTTGTTACTGTCCATTGTGCAACTATTTAAATTAGTAAAAAAAAGAGTCATAAATTAGTTGCATGGCTGTTCAATTAACATCTTACGGGGATACCAATTTTGAAAAATGTAAATGGCACATGGTGGTCTGTGAAAATAGTTTGAGAGCTGGAAGCGGTCTGTTGGGAACAGATGCTCGAGGCCAGGTCTCGTGAACACGTGGGCTATTACTGTCAATCTGTCAATTGCAAACATAGAATGAATTATTTTCATTGTGATTATGGTCAGCCCACTGTCATCTCAACAGTGAAATCTCTGATTAGCACGGTTATCTGCTACATACGGGATGAAAGAAATTAAACATACATACAGTCCATTCTCCTATTACCCGGTAGTTGCGTTTCTGCAGCTTATCGCATTATGGAAAAATTACGTTATAATAAATAATATATAATATGGGGGAAAGCACAGTCCACAATAACACGTGAAATTCATATGCAGGCCGAACAAAGAGGCATGTGGGTAGCATCGAGAAGCATCCAGCAGCATCCCGCCTTATGTGATGCTACGCCGAAGCAGCCGTACGACCGCGTATTCGTACTCGCGCGACGTAGTTCCGTTTGCTCAACCACATTGCATCCAATTTGCATCCGCATTGTCAAATATGTGTTACCTAATACATTCAACACGTTACATCGAATTCGCGTGATGAAAACATGCAGCGTTATTGGGGAACAGACTGCGCATACAAGTTGCGGATTCATGTGGACAGCACCAGCCTATTTACAATACTGCTCAATTGATGCAAGGAATCACACACCAGAACTGGCTAAACCCGCCATCACCCAACACAGCAATATGTTTCCTTTCTTTAAATAGGTAGCAATAAATGCATGACATCAACTGACAGGTTGAAGCCAAGTAGACGTGTCAGTCTAATTACAACTCAAAACCAGGCTGGCAAAATTGGTTAACAGAAATGGCCGTGACACACTCATGTCTGTTGGTGTCATGGCCAATATTTCTACATTGAATTACTCAAAACAAGTTTGACAAAATGAGAATAAGCGCATTACCAAGGTTATATAGTTTCCATTATGAATCACCCAGTTAAAAAAACATTTAGACATCAAGTACTAGAACTCATATTAGCACCGGTGTGGTGATGTGGCCCCTCTGTAACACCTTCAGCTCGCCACTTGTTGCAAAGGATCACGCTTCGAATCCAGCCTTTGGTTATTCCAGCGGGTGTATGAACATTAGAGTGAAGCGCCTTCTGCTTCACAGTGGACGTTAAAGTTCCCGTGGCAAGAGAAGGCCATTGTGTGCCAGCTTCATGGCCAAAATTTGCCATGAAAAAAAAACTTACACCGGCAAATAAGTCAATTGGAATCTATATAGCAATCACGCAACCCCGAGTGAGAAAAATTGGCAGGACCCTCCTGAAAAAGAGTCATGGACTCAGTGAGGTTTTCCTGGATAAACAAGCGTAATCATCCATAAGAGTTTTTTTGGGTTAGAGCGCAAAAGCATAAATCTGTCGTTAAACCCGCCATCACCCAACACACCCAATTAGTAAGGTTTGTCACGTAAACAAAACATGCCAATTCGTTACTAGTTCAGCACACTGGGGTGTTGGAGAGTAAACCACAACATTTACACTTCGAGTGCCGTGACGTTTTGCGTCATCATAATAATGACAACCTACCCATCAACCGAGGCCTCAACAATGCACCTCACCGCTGACTCAAGTTCCGATCCCCCTTCTGAGAATCACACTGCTGTTACCATCCTATAATCTCACCCAGATACAGAATGGTAGTTAACATTGGAACAAAGCAGACGTCCAAAATAAACACCTATTTCAAGACCCAAACATAGCACGTCCTGGCTTTGACATTCCTCAAAGACACTGGTGTAACCAACAACTGCATCAGAACATCACCAGGCTGATGCGCACATCTCCTTCTGGAAAATTCAAGACAAGCCAGTCATGCGAATTTGGCCGTGCAACCCAAACGATGGATAATACCGTACAAGTAAATCAGTGGAGTCTTTGCTCCTTTAAGGGAGGAGGAATAAAACAATGACACAATCTCTCTTCTGAAGCCCTCTCATCAGGGCCAGCAACAGGCCTCGACATTGCCATGTAGCTCCTGAACATTTTGCCAGACACAAGAATAAAAGAGATTGCTACCTACATTCTCGGCCAGCTTAATGTTGGTGTCACTGACCTGTACTTCACATTCAGACATTACTTTCTTCTTTAATAAGGCCATACAGTCGATTGAAACTCCTTTCTTTGTATTTCCTAACATCATTTTATCCAGCGTCCTGTGAAAATCTCTCTCAGATTATGCAATGAATACATTATCATCTGCAAATCTCAAGTCTATTATTTGATCAGCAACCTCTACTCTATGTGTTGTAAAATGGAACACCTAATATATACTTGATGTTGAGTTAGTTTTTTTTTACAAATGAAGACACGCACAGCTGATGCATACAGGATCACAGGCCTCCTGGAATGGCGTGGTAGCAAGAGAGGCTGCACAACACAAATGCGGAATGCCTGTTCCCCACCCCACCAAGTAACTCGACGAATGGTCCTCCTCATCGTCATGAATTCGAGCACGCGAACTAAGCCCTCCGCATTAAGACCCCAGCTTCTTTGTGTGTGTCTTTGGCTGCAATTATTTTTCAAGAATCGTTTTAATATTTTGAACCAATTTTAAGTGCCGTAAAATCTAATAACACTGGGGTCATCTTAAGGATCTACTTTATGTAATACGTAGAGACCCCAGGTGTTACACGCAGCTAGTATAATACCATCAGGCAGCTCAGCGATAGAGTGGACTCACAATCGGAAGGTAGCGAGTTCAAATCCTGGTTGGAGGTTGACTCAGCCCAGCATCCTTCCGGGGTCAACAGTGGATGTCCTATGGATAAACTCGCCCCCACGAAGGGCAATGTGGAATGTCCACCACTGACTCAGGCCTGCAACCAGGAGATAAACACCAATGCCTCAATCCTGATTGTGGGCAGAAACTCACTCTGTTATATTTACTTGAAGCAACCGGGCTTCGACACGCACCCTCTGGCACACCATGAGGAGAGAAAAATACATCTTCAAGTCATTAACTTGCCAATGAGTCGATTTTGGGAAATGTTTTGTATAATCAAATAAACGAACCAATAATCGACTGAAAAATGTATAAACACTGTCAGTTTCAGGTAGCTCAATGGATGATTATAGTTAAGCTGCATATGCGACTCCTATGTTACATTTCGTGGGAATCAATCAATCCTAGATTTATAATGCAAAAAGCTGAGATAGAAGCACGGATGTCACAGACAAAATGTAAACTACTAAAACTAAATGAACGAGAAAATACATGCACCGATTGGCACAGCTGACCAGACTTTAGTTGGCAAGTGGTTCACAAGAGGAACAGTGGTGAAGTTACTCACTGAAAGAGATGGGACACCCCAAGGGATTGAGGGGACAAATGGATGGGGAGTCCAAGCGAGTCCTATTAGTGGGGGGCACACCCAGGTCACTCATAGGAGTGGGGCCAACATGATTTATAGGTGGGGGGAAGGGGGTTCAGCCATTTCCAGAAGGGGACCGAGCCGTCTGTGGTAGACAGGGGGTCAAGAGACAGATGGGAAAGGAAGCCACCCCAAGTAACTGACGCGCATCCCTAAGGACCTCATTCACTGCCCGGGCACCAAACGCCAAGCACTCAACGTTACCGTAACCCGACAGAGCAGGGCTCTTATCCTGTCGGGTATGGCAACAACCATATCAAGAACACCGTTCCTCAATCAAGACCACCACGGTTACACTAAAGGTCACATTACACATTGGGACCACATTTCCACATCCCTAGTCAAAGTGCTGTCAGTAAGGCATGCAGTGAGTTGTGTATCAGTGAGTTGTGTAAGGCATGTGTAACAGCGCACACACCGTGACACAGTGCACCCCCACGCACATACCCTGACACTGCGCACCCCACGCACACCGTGACCCCACGCACACCATGACCCTACGCGACCCGTGAAACTGCAAACACTATGACCCCACGCACCCCATGACATCACGCACCCCGTGACGTCACGCAGACCATGACACCAAGCACACCGTGACCCAACGGACCCCTGACACCAAGCACACCGTGACCCCGCGCACCCCGTGAACCCGCGCACCACATGACACCACGCACACCGTGAGCCCATGCACACCGAGACACCGCGGACACCGTGACGCCGCACTCCCCATGATCCCACGCACCCTGTGACCCCACGCACACCGAGACCCAACGCACACGGAAACACCACGAACATCGTGACACCGCACTCCGCCTGACACCTTGAACACCGTGACCCCACGCAAACCGTGACCCCACGCAAACCGTGACGCCGTGATACCGTGCACACTGCGGACACCGTGAGACTGCGCAAAACGTGAACCCCATGACACCGCGCACACTGGGTGACATTCCCCACATATCGTGACACCGCAAACACCAGCGACACCTCACACACTGTGACACCACAAACGTGACACCTCGCACACTCCGAGAACACAGCACACTGTGACACCGTGCACACCATACCACCACCGCGCACACGGTAACAACACGCACGCCATGACAACACGTACACCGTGCCACCAGGACACACCGTAACAACAACACGTACACCGTGACACCGAGCTCCCCGTGAAAACACGCACACCGTAACAGCATGCACAGCGTGACACAGCGTACACTGCCACTTCCACATCGCCGAGAGGCAGCTCCACTCGCCGCCGCGGCCGCCCCACAACAAAAGCACTGTAGGGAACTGTACGGAGCGAAAACCACATTCCAAGAAAACGAAAACCAGCAGCGCGCGAGACCCAACCCCATCAACCCCCCCCAGTGCCGGGGGCCCGTACGCCCCTTTCTCCTGGCCAGGTCTAGGTTCACTCGATACCTTCTGCTCCCAGCGGTGCGTTCCCTCCCGTCCCTGGCTGTCACCCCCTCTTGCTGGCTCCGTCCCCTCTGCTCCGCGAGGCCTGTCCCCTGTCCCCTATCCCCGTCCCCTGTCCTTGGGCCTGCCTCCTGTCCCTGGCCTTGTCCCCTGTCCCTGCCCCCTGGGCCTGCCCCGCTCCTCTCACCGCGAGGCCCGCGCCCACTGCTCCGTGCCCTCTGCGTGCTTCTTCATTCACTGGCGTGACCCTGCGCCCAGTCGCTCGCTGTCCGCCCCCGCGCGCTCTGCCCCTTCTTCCGTCTCCCCCTGCCCTGCCCCTTATGCTAAGTGCCCCTCTTCTATTCTATGTTCCATCTACTCCGATGTGCACTTCCTATTAGCACGGGTAGCTACATCAGGAGCGAAATAAGTTCAACATACATCCTGTTGACGTGCTGGAGGCTGTGTACTGTCCCCTGTGCTGTGTACAGTGCGGTCCCCTGTGCTGTGTACAGTACTGTCCCCTGTGCTGTCCCCTGTGCTGTGTACAGTGTAGTCCTCAGTGCTGTGTACAGTGCCGTCCCCTCTGCTGTGTACAGTGCTGTGTACAGTGCCGTCCCCTCTGCTGTGTACAGTGCCGTCCCCTCTGCTGTGTACAGTGCTGTCCCCTGTGCTGTGTACAGTGCGGTGTACAGGGCTGTTCCCTGTGCTGTGTACAGTGCTGTCCCTTGTGCTGTATACAGTGCGGTGTGCAGTACTGTCCCCTGTGCTGTGTGTACTGCACCGTCCCCTGTGCTGTGAGTACAGCACCGTCCCCTGTGCTGTGTGTACTGCACCGTCCCCTGTGCTGTGTGTACTGCACCGTCCCCTGTGCTGTGTGTACTGCACCGTCCCCTGTGCTGTGTGTACTGCACCGTCCCCTGTGCTGTGAGTACAGCACCGTCCCCTGTGCTGTGTGTACTGCACCGTCCCCTGTGCTATGTGTACTGCACTGTCCCCTGTGCTGTGTGTACTGCACCGTCCCCTGTGCTGTGTGTACAGCACCGTCCCCTGTGCTGAGTGTACTGCACCGTCCCCTGTGCTGTGTGTACAGCACCGTCCCCTGTGCTGTGAGTACTGCACCGTCCCCTGTGCTGAGTGTACAGCACCGTCCCCTGTGCTGTGTGTACAGCACCGTCCCCTGTGCTGTGTGTACTGCACCGTCCCCTGTGCTGTGAGTACTGCACCGTCCCCTGTGCTGTGAGTACTGCAACGTCCCCTGTGCTGTGTGTACTGCACCGTCCCCTGTGCTGTGAGTACTGCACCGTCCCCTGTGCTGTGTGTACTGCACCGTCCCCTGTGCTGTGTGTACAGCACCGTCCCCTGTGCTGTGTACTGCACCGTCCCCTGTGCTGTGAGTACAGCACCGTCCCCTGTGCTGTGAGTACTGCACCGTCCCCTGTGCTGTGAGTACTGCACCGTCCCCTGTGCTGTGTGTACTGCACCGTCCCCTGTGCTGTGTGTACAGCACCGTATCCTGTGCTGTGTGTACTGCACCGTCCCCTGTGCTGAGTGTACAGCACCGTCCCCTGTGCTGTGAGTACTGCACCGTCCCCTGTGCTGAGTGTACTGCACCGTCCCCTGTGCTGTGTGTACTGCACCGTCCCCTGTGCTGTGTGTACAGCACCGTCCCCTGTGCTGTGAGTACAGCACCGTCCCCTGTGCTGTGAGTACAGCACCGTCCCCTGTGCTGTGAGTACAGCACCGTCCCCTGTGCTGTGTGTACAGTACCGTCCCCTGTGCTGTGAGTACAGCACCGTCCCCTGTGCTGTGAGTACAGCACCGTCCCCTGTGCTGTGAGTACAGCACCGTCCCCTGTGCTGTGAGTACAGCACCGTCCCCTGTGCTGTGAGTACAGCACCGTCCCCTGTGCTGTGAGTACAGCACCGTCCCCTGTGCTGTGAGTACAGCACCGTCCCCTGTGCTGTGAGTACAGCACCGTCCCTGACCCGGCCCCGCCTCGGGGTTTCTCACTGGAACACAAAGTCCCGGCCGCCCTTCGTCCGCGAGCAACGAGGGGAGACACGAGGAGCCGTAGGGGGACCCAAGGAGACCGGAGACCCACCGAAGCCACAGCAGCGACACGGGGAGACGACGAGACGCCCGGAGACACGAGAGGCAGACACGGGGAGACAGAGAGCGACGACACGGGGGACACGGGGGACACGGGGAGCCTCACGAGAGAGACCGGGAGACGACGAAGCACACAGAGAGACTATCAGAGACGCGGGGCCGCGGGGCCGGGCTCAAAATGGCGGCGATGGCGGCGCGGGCCGAGGGTCTCGGCCACCTCCGCGTCTCTCCTCGCCCCGCTCCCCCCCGCGCGATTTCGGCACAAAGGACGAGGGTTTCGCCTACCTGGAGCCCGGGCGCCGCGGCCGCGAAGCCGCTGCGGCTCGGATGGCGACGCTTTGACGCCCAAACACAACGGATGCGACGCGCCTCTCACCCGGGCACAGCGCGACCCTGGCGGCGAGCGACTAGAATCCATACAGCGGATAGGCGCCTCCACAATACACACGGCGGGTAGGCGCCTAGAATACATACAGCGGATAAGCGCCACTACAATCCATATAGCGGATAGGCGCCTTCACAATGCATACAGCGGATAAGCATCTTCACAAGAGTACAGCGGAAGGGCGCCTAGAATCCATACAGAGGATAGGCTGTTCCACAATACAGGGCTGATAGGCGTCTAGAATACATAGTGCGGATAGGCGTCTCCACATAATACGTACACATTCCACATAAGCCACTTCGTTGAGCTATCATTTGTGGCCAGGTGGCTTCTGAAATATAAGCTAATAGCTCAGTGGGCTTTAATGGGTAAAATATAATTTATTTCCAATTTGTATTTTTAGTGAATTGTTTACAGTTCCTATTATTTGCACTCCTATCGTGTTTTGTATTGTCGTTTAAACGTTCTGACCCGCCCCCGTTGGACATCTGTGAAAGAGCTTTAGAGCTCATCGGATTCCCCCAGTACAGGATATTGCCTCTGATTCAGCGAACAGGATACTAGAATCCATACAGCGGATAGGCGCCTCCACAACACGGGATAGGCTACTAGAATCCATACAGCGGATAGGCGCCTCCACAACACGGGATAGGCTACTAGAATCCATACAGCTGATAGGCGGGTCCATAATGCATAGAGCGGATAACCGCCTAGAATCCATAGAGCGGATAGGCGCCTCCAGCAGAATTTCCTGCAGTTCATTTCCATTTCCCCTATAATATCCGAGCCAATCTGAGATGGTTCATGCATTCGCCATTAATATTCACGACTTTAATTTCTCCAATCCAATCGTTTCATGTCGCCGTGATGGCGAAAGCGTGTCCCCTTGCTCGACTCCCACTGCCATGAGCACAGCTCTTACATTTTTGTACATTAATTTAACTAATTAATTATGTTTATTTTTTTAGTGGACAGGCGCATCGAATATATACCGCGGATAGTCGCCTACACAATAACAGGAATCTCATGATTCCAGACACAGCTTAAAGACCCAGATGGGTTGAACTATTTGAATTAATAAAACATTAGTAATGTATATAATGTAAACGTAAGGCGACTCTAAACTAAAGCGTTGCCTCTCGCTGGACATCATCTCGTCGCTGTTGGCTTCTCAACTCGCAGAGCCACGACCGCGCCTCGGCCCGTCCCACGTGTCTCGTCACGTGACGCGGCGCCCCATCAGCTGTCTAGCGCTCCCAGCACGCGCCCCCCCCCCTCTCACCCCCCCCTCTCTCACCCCCACGTGACCACCCCCCCCTCTCACCCCCCCCTCTCACCCCCCCCTCTCACCCCCCCCTCTCACCCCCCCCTCTCACCCCCCCCTCTCACCCCCACGTGACCACCCCCCCCTCTCACCCCCCCCTCTCATCCCCCCTCTCACCCCCCCCCTCTCTCACCCCCACGTGACCACCCTACTCTCTTACACCCACGACTCGTGAGTGAAAGAGGGGGGGGCGGTCACGCGCGCCTCACGTGACCGCCCCCCCCTCTCACCCCCCCCTCTCACCCGCCCCCCTCTCACCCCCACGTGACCACCCTCCCCTCTCACCCCCCCCTCTCTCACCCCCACGTGACCACCCTCCCCTCTCACCCCCCCCTCTCACCCCCCCCTCTCACCCCCACGTGACCACCCCCCCCTCTCACCCCCCCTCTCACCCCCCCTCTCTCACCCCCACGTGACCACCCCCCCCCTCTCACCCCCCCTCTCACCCCCACGTGACCACCCCCCCTCTCACCCCCCCTCTCACCCCCCCCTCTCTCACCCCCACGTGACCACCCTCCTCCCTTACACCCACGACTCGTGAGTGAAAGAGGGGGGGGCGGTCACGCGCGCCTCACGTGACCGCCCCCCCCTCTCACCCCCCCTCTCACCCCCACGTGACCGCCCCCCAAAGACAAAGACCCCCCGTGTAGCCTTAACAGACTGTTGGGGCAAGTGCTGTTAGCGAGCACCTATGAAGGCTGGCACGGCAACCACGTCCGGCCGCCTTTGTCTCCCCAGTGGCGAAGTTTACGCACCAGGTACACATTTGAGGCTGAGTCGACCTAGGGGAGGCCCGGGACCGGTTCAGACACAATCGTCACTGGTGTTGGCCGTGAGCGTATCAACAAGATACGACACGGCAGATAGTCGATTAGAATACACACATTGGATAGGCGTCTTCACAATCCGCACAGCGGATAGGCGGGGGCATTAGAATGTGTAGAGTGGACCGGTCCCCTACCGCTGAGCCCGAGCCGGGGACGTCGTATGGGGAGTCGATCCAAGAAAGAATGGAAATCCGTTTAATGTGGTCCATATTGGAATCGACTCCACCACCCCCCGTTCTCTTAAAAAATGTTGTCATCGAAACGACACGCAAAAAATGTACTTTCAAACGTACTCATTTATTGAATTAACGGTCATAATTAATGCCCATTGTAGTCATGTGAGGTACATTGAGTGCCCCTTGTTAGGAAACGACACGAATCTACTGTGCACTTGTGGCACATGGCGTCAGTGAGAGTGTCAGTAGCTTCAGGTGCACGTGAGGAGGGGTCCCGCCATCATCACACTTGAGGCTCAGTTTATAACCGAGCAGACCCCCCCAACCCCCCCGGGGTATGCAATTCCTGGAAATTTTAAAATATAATCTTTCATGAGATTTAAAAATTTCTAAAATCATGAGGCCTCCTTTGCGGGTACCAATATATACTAATAGGGGTTTTCCCCTTTTTTATGGCAACAAAACTGACACCTAAATTTCGATTTAAAGCTTGCGTGACTGCAGGGATTCATCTTCTTGGTTCTTTCGGTAAAGTCACGTAGAAGGGAAATAATAAAATAATTAAAATAAACATAAAATACAATTTTCACGACGTTTCGGCTACAACGCAAGCAGGCGTCCCCTGACTTTAACGAAAGAACCAAGAATAAAAACTGACACCTTTTGCAAGGAATCATGTTAACATTAACCATAATACTTGCAGTCAAATGCAAACAAAAAACAATACTCTGATAATCAAGGGCAATGCATAAATGATCAGAGTATTGTTTTTTGTTTGCATTTGACTGCAGGTATTGTGGTTAATGTTAACACGATTCCTTGCAAAAGGTATCAGTTTTTTTGCCAGAAAAAATGGGAAAACCCCTATTAGTATAAGTGCTAAAATGTTTGAAGCAAACATTCAATTGTGTGGGGGTACAGTGCGACACGTGGTGTCGGTTATAGTCGGAAAAAACACTCCCTCCTATCAAATGAAACTTTACTTAACACAATTTGTGCAAGTAGTGCAATACAACGTGCTGTACAGTTCTAAATGACGGGATTGACTCATCAGGATGCTATTAAGCTGCATCCCCAGGCCAAGACATCTGATCAGAGCTCAGTGCTTAACCTATGCAGGTTACCACTGAGACACTGGCCGATGTAAAGGTGTACGGAAGCTGGGGGTTTGAGCTGGAGTCCCAGATTAAACGAAACCCACCTGTAACAAGTCTCCACGTCCATTGTTGTGCGCCTGTTGACATCAGAATTCACTCATTTTCTTTATGATTAAACTATTAATGCTTAGCCACCGAACTGGACATACGCTATACAGTTTGGAAGTGCTACACACTTAATCATAGGCGCAGTCGAGTGTTGTTGTAATGTTCTGACCCGTCCCTTCTGGACGGGTGTGAAAAAATAGCTTTATAGTTAATCGGATTATTCCAGTCTAAATAAATATTCTGATTTTGTCTCCTGCAAGGAACAGTGCGAGTGAAGAGAAAATACAGCAACATCGACTATGGTAGCTGTGTGGTGTTCACTTTCGTTTGTCGACGAATTTAATAAGAAGCTGAATCGTGGCATTTCCAAGAGACATTGCTGCACACAATGACACACGGATGTCGCCCACGTGGAAACACCACGGACTTTCCCATACCTGTCAACCCATACGGTTTACCCGTATTCTTGTCCAGAGAAATTGAGTAAAAACACATTTTGTCTATTTGTTTGTGTTTCTCCCTAGTAATGAAATTTCGTAGGATGAACGTTGAGATTTATAAGGGCACGTGGTGACCAATAAAGTTTCAATTGGTCTGTAGTAGGGTAGGCACCCATAAGGGGTTGACAGGTATGGTTTCCCATCGGACAGAAACATGGGCACAAATAAAATAAAATCCGCAGATATCAATGTTTCCCCGAGTGATTAAAAATAACATGAAAGCATGTAATTCACCCAGCATCGGAGTCATAATACTATACCAATGCAATTACAATATAATTTTACAACGGCAAAGTATTTTTTTATGGACAATCCAGAGACCTTGTGTGTGGCACAAGGCGTAAGGCAGGGGACTGAGAGAAGCCCCCTCATGTATAAACACTCTGTAATTGGCTGAACAAAAATCTTGAACAAATCTTTTTTAAATACAATGCAAGGACCCCTTCTAAAAAGTCCTACGACTGAGTGTGGCTCTCCTAGACAAGTACTCGGGCCCCTGGAGAGAGCATTTCAAAGACAGGCTCAACAATGAAGCCCAAGCAGGTCAACGTGACTCGCCCTGCGCTACAATCTGTAGAAGAAGCAGACACTATTGGTGTAATTGTTTAAATGCATGCCGAAACAGGTCCCCATAGTTCTGTAGTGACATAGAATTGGTCACATAGCAGCATAGCGCTCGCTGTTGGCGGGGAAGGGGATCGGAAGCTTACAGCAGCCCTGACTAACAGCAGGCCAGGTGATAGACCAGAGAGGGATCTAGGAGGAAGGTCACGGAAGGGGCACATCAATAACCTGCTAGTAGGTTCCAGTATAAGAGGGGCCCCTGTAGGGGACCTCGAGGCTGTCGTGTGGAGTGGGATCCCCTCGTACTGCTGGAGTCTTCGCCGTCATCTCCGTCTTTACCATCTCGGCGTCGCCAGTCAGGCAGTCTACCAGCTGGCCAGTCATAAAGTGTTAACTCTCAGGCCGTGTTAATAAACAGAGTGCCTCCTACTCTGAGTGTCTCCGAGTCAGTC